TGATTACAATTTAGTGGCCTTTCGGTTGGTGTCGCTCTCTGAGAGGATAATTCTGTGTGGTCTGAGAGGAGTGGTGTGGTGGATTCTACGGTATCTCTCAAAGGGTTGGGTATAATTGCTGCTCGCAATGTCCTATTGTTTATTCCACAATTAGACTCAGTGAGATAATTATATACGCGCCTTTTTATGACTGTCTTGTCCACCGCAACCTTCATTAGTCTGTAGTTTCTGGCTTGCGATAGGGTGTGTTGGGAGTGGATGAATTTTCTGGCCTCTGCCGGTGTTTCGAACTGAAAACGAATAGGACAACACTTTCCATGTTGACTCTTCTTCAGCCTGTAGCACTTAGTCTTGGAGTTGGGCATTTTCGCCTCACTAAGTAAGATGCGCTGTACCTTTTTTAGTGCCTCATTGTCCGGAACGTTGTAGACAATAGCATTTAGTTTAGCGTCGAGTCGTTTTGTTACTTCTGTGGTAACAAAGCTAATGAGGTTATCCACCTTAGATACCGATTCCGTGTCAAGTTTGTTAAGGTCTACAGTTTTCATGAGGATAGTTAAAGGTGTTAGTTCACAGACCTGCGATCTGATATCGCTGATCTGATCTGATAATTTGGATATTTTGGTAGTGGTTTCAGAAATTCCAGGATTTACTGACTTATTGTTTTTTATTTCCCTTAACTCGGCCTTAAGTTCTCCCATAGACAACTTTAGAAGTTCTATTTCTGAAGATAGTACTGAAACAGAACTTGAAGGCGGGAGTTTTTCGACAAGCACATAAGGTGTAGGGAGGGTTTCTGTATGAGCAGAGGGTAATGAATTTTTAGGAGTAGTGCTAATACTAGCTGTCAGTACAGTTTTATCCTCAGTTTCAGCTCGACGCTTACGACATACAAGTGAGTTATGTGGCTCACTATAAGCGTTTGTAGGGAGTGTGTTGCTTGATGTAGCAATCAGGGACGTAAAATGAGTCATCAGTTTTACAGGGGATTGAGTTCGTCGCTTTTTACTTTGGTTAACCATAGTTATTTGCTATAAGAGTTAATGTTCAAGTATTGGTTTGGTAGGGATTTTGTTTAATTGTATGTAGGATGATGAAATCCTTCATAAGAGTTAATGGTTATAGGTATTGAGGAAGTAGAGTACTTGTGCAAGGATTACAACAAGATAAATTTTATGTAACGAATCACGCAAAAGTGTAACGCAAACGTTGAACTGCGTAGAATATTTGTTGTGTACCGATTGGCCATAACTATCATCAGGAAATGGAACGAAGTTTGGGTTGTAGCTCAACTTCGATGGTGACCTTCATGAAGGGTTTACAGTTTAACATTTATCAGAATCTGTTCCGATTGCTCGTACTTTAATTCAACAATTTGAACTTTTTTTAGATTTAATTTATGTTTCAGAATCAAAAGAAGACTGGATTTCAGCGTCAGTCAGTATATATAACAGCACTGGATTAGTCGACTACACTTGTGGGCGGCAGTTTCGATGTCTATGTGCTGACTTTGGTTAATGCTACAAATAACACAGTTGAAAGTCCACACAAACAAACTAAGCGTTACCTACAAAGATCAGATAGTCTGCACAGAGATATGTTGAATGTGTGTAATTGGTGGAAACAGAGTTCTTCAAGAAGACACCAGGAGGCGATGATAGCTAAGTCCAGATGTTTCGCTTATGACTGCTTAGAACGTCTACTACTAATTAGGAGACGACTGACGCCGTACACCTCGCGGAAAGTCATCCTCGAATATGAAAGAGGACGGTGGGCTTCCGTAGAGTCTGAAGATTCTATGTATTCTTCAAACATAATGGGGAGAGAATAGAGTTCGATCTGTCTGCATGCACGTGCACACGCAGCAAGTTCGAGACTTTTCGGAACCCTTGTCGACATTTGCGGTTAGTTCACTTTAGAAAGGCGTGGTTTACAAGCATATTTATATTTTTACACAGATTTTATATATATTGTATATTATTCCTCAGGTTGTTTTAAATGCTGTTTGATATATCTGACTGATAATCTTAATTACGAAGCTTATAATTATTTTACAGTTTTTTGTTTATGACCTTACCGTTATTACTTATACCAAATAAAAGCTGCAATTAAAAATCCTATAATGTTATGTTATTAATTAATTTTAACATTATTCGATAAAATTAGATGCGATATTGTACCGAGTGCTGAAGATTCCACACTGAAACATTCACACTTTTGAAATGTAGCACATTATTATCATTTTCATGTTTACGTTTCCTATATTACCACTAGTAGTTAGTCATGTGCTACAGAAGTGGCAACAGTGGACATGGCCAAGTAACTCACACTCACTTCCAAGCACGTCAGCAGTCGTCCAACAAAAACCCTTTGAGGAATACCTCAGTAACATCACGCTTATGCATGTACACACCACCGAAATCTTAGAGAAATTTGAAGACACGAATGCAACCAATTACGCGGGAGAATTGGTCTCAGGATTGCGACGTTTTCTCAATATGTAAATAAACTAATTTTTTATTGGAATAAAAATAAACTTTTCCTATTAACATTCTTGTCTTTATTTTCCCATGCTGACGGCGAGAGTACAATATGCTAGGCCGGTACTTCCTAAGTTGAGAAATTGCAAGTATACGTAAGTGTAATCCCGTACGACCATAACCGGTTCATATGGTCTTCACTCAAGTTTTTACACTTCAGATCGTAGGATATATGTTAGTCTCTGTGGTGCAGTATTACTGCGTCATAGGGTAAGTGTATTCAAAAGTACTTCACTGCTGCTGCTTCTACACCTATTCTACCATCCCTGGAAATGTCAGCAGACTTTTAAGCTAAACTCACCAAAATAATGCTCACAATCAGTAGGGCATCTAAGTAGTGTAATACTGCGATGTAGCGCACTAAATTTTTTCACCTATTTCAGGTGAAGCATTAATTCAACTAACATAAACAAGAGTGTTAACACAGAATTTAACGCGATGCATATAGTAGACGAATAATTGAGTAAATTCAGCAATAGCAATCATAGCACTATTTCACTTACACTGAACTATGCCACCAACTACCTTTTTACGTCTTATTAATAAGTCAAGCCTTCATGTCGTCATGATAAGAAGTCCAATTTCACTGCAATAGAATAAGAAAAGTGTGCCCAGCAGCATAGGATTTATATTTCATGAAAAATAGTAACAAGTAATTCTCTGTACGCAATTGTTAGTTATAATTATTTCGCCTGCATTGAGCTGCTATGACCAGGTTGACTGACGCTACCGGACACTTCTGAAATTAAGTGAATGAAGTGTAAGATTGATTCAGCTGCAATTAGAAGAAATAAACATAAAGGTTGCATAATTTTTCCCTTCCTTTTCCTCTGTGATTTCAACTATCACACATACACATTACATTCTTTATCAAGTAAGCAAGCAACGCTTTCATATCTGAGTGTCACTTTTAACTTTAGAAGATAGTTTACACATCTAAAATGCAGTAATTATGCAGTCTTCAGTTGCACTTACTTGTACATAGTCTAAGTACTTCCTTTGAATAATTTTCTTATCAAAAATTTGTACCATCCCCATTACTTTGATAGGAAGTTTTCAGCCGAACTCGCTTTCATCGCCTGTGCCTTAAGGGTTAATACCACCTCTATCTGCGTATGCATCCATGTTTCAACGACAACTTCAAGAAGTCTCTCCAGAACAAATACTATTTAAGATATAACACAAATATTCATGCAAACATCTATGAAACACAAAATGATTGAGCAAAGAATATGCTTTTCGATAAATTCCTCTTCCGGCTCTTCAATTATATATGTGTTTGTATACATAGAATATTCTAGATTAGTAGCCAATAACAATATTAGTGTTTTTTAAATAATGTGGATTTATAAAGTAAGATTAATGCAACTACAGCTGTCGTAAAAATATATCAGTAGCAAGTGCAACTTCCATATCTATCATAGACAAAGGTATCTCCTGAAGAAATCCAAAATGTCTTGTTGACCTGAAAGTGAGTGATTATTACGACTGGTATAACTTAGTTAACACGCTCACTAGGAGTGGGAGGGAACTTCAGGCTACTCTTCGACAGAAAGGCACTACTAACTGTAAGCAGTGTGACATTTCAGAAGGACTATGCATAGTATTCTTCTTATCCCAGTGAACAGTAATATCAAGATAAGTTGGTGCGATTAGATGCGGCAAGCAGTTACGTTCTTCCAGCATTCCATGTGCCACTGCAAATTCCACTAGTATCACATATTCAGCTTAACACGTTTCACTATGAACCTCATCAAAATGGACATAATCACAGCAAGACTCACATATTTGTCTCATTCAGGATATAATTTCTTTAATATGACAAACACCATTTCATTTATTCCCCATGAATTTAAAAAGCTCACATACCTCAGATACTCCTCAGAACAAATATCTGACTGATGCCCAGAGATTCATTCTTCCCAATAATCCTGATTCTCACGAAAACTTGCTTTAACATTAACCGTTGGCATTAGTCAGTTCAAGACCCGATAATCACAAATAATCCACAAATATAAGACTCTTAAGGCCCCCAAATAAAAGTAAAAGCCATTTCTGTATATAGTTTCTCCTAGTTTGTTCCTTCCTTCGTAAGAATTCATATGTCATATCAAAACACGTACTCATTATTCTGAACATAATGAAAGAAAACGTCACTTTTTTAGACTACACAAGCCTAAAACTATCTTAATGTGTTTCATTTTCGCAAAAATAGACACTTAGAGCATCCCATGGACGTGAACACAACAACCCATACTATGTGCGAAAACACATCGCGATAGCCTTTATCTTCACTCAATTAATCACTATTTCAGATACCCTCTTAAGGCGAGTTCAACCACACAACTAAATACTTGAGAAACTCTCGACCATCCTCATTTAATTTATTTACCACCATGGTTTTTTAAAATTTTTTGACCTGTGTAGTTGTTTATGTCTATGAAGACATGGCAACAAAGGCGTCTAATAGGCGCTGGAACTGATTCGGAATGGAAAACCATGAAAACTTTTTTGAAGTAAATAGTGACCACTGGAATTTTGTCCCAATTCTTATAAGTGTTACGAGAATTTTACTGTTTTTCTAAATGCAGAATCCTTCATCACTTCTCCAAAGACATGTTAGTTTCGGGAAATCGACATATATCCCAAGCTTACAATAATGCTGAATTAAATCTCAGTAATTCTGAAATAATTCTTGCATCCTATAGTGAGTAAATTCTGAATCTGTTCTGAAATGGTTTGTTTAATGGCACAGACTAGAACTCAGTGCTGGTTTTCAGCATGACTAGAACTAACTCAGCACCGTGTTCTTTTTCTAGGCATTTTCAGGAGTAGATCAGAACTACTGGGTTTCCTTATCAGCGTTGTTCCAGCCATTACAGGACATATTGAGCACTGACTAGCATTACTTCAGAACGGAAAGACCTAATTCAGCACGTAGTGGCAATTTTTTCAGCTTAATTCTAGCCTTCTCAGCACATATTCAGAACTGACTAGCATTACTTCAGAACGGAAAGACCTAATTCAGCACGTAGTGGCAATTTTTTCAGCTTAATTCTAGCCTTCTCAGCACATATTCAGAACTGACTAGCATTACTTCAGAACGAAAAGACTGCTACTTATTATCATCACCTGTGTCCTACGCCGGCGCAATTCATTCAGTTTACAGAAGGAAATCAGTTTTTATAATTGAGAGAATTTTGTATTTAATAAACTGTAGTACATTGTCACTGCAAATCCGTCAAGTGAGATCCACTGGTAGCATCCTGTAAATAAGAAAAATATAAGATTAGTTGATGAAAAATAGTGCTCAGCACATTGTAAGAATTTACATTTATAAAGGTTTACTTACATAACTGCCACTGTTATATCCCCTGGTATCTTTTTCATTTGCCTACAAATGAAAGAAATGTTGTCATTACTATATGTTCAATAAACGTTGACTTATAAAAATAAGCAGGCGTTTCGCAATTTTACCTGAATTCCTTTCTTCAGCTTACGCCTTTGGACACGATCTTTCAAATTATGAAAGTACGATTTCGTGGCCTTATCCATTATGTCACCAACCTCTCTCGACGTCATTAGTTGGCCGGAGAATTCCGCCATAATTACATCTAAAGAACTAAGTACTTTATAAATGAACCTTACATCTCATTATTTTATGAAAGGTATAAGGCACAATGCTGGACTTTGTCAAAGTCCCCTGAAATGTAAACTTCAAAGCCACTTCAGGTTTTAGAACATGGTGCATCATGACCTTAAGTGATAACTTTGGATCACTCTGAAGGCAGCTAACCATCTTAGCAGTCTACAAGAAATAAGAATTAAATATGTCAACTCACATATTGCTGTTTGTACTTTTCGTCTCTTAAAGATGCTTCCAGCATCTCTAAGTGGTCTTCATTCTCGATCGGAAACTGCAGTGTGAAGTCATCGTTTGCTGGAAGGGAGGTTTGTTGTCGAGATTTTCTGTCAATAGTCATAATGTTCAACATTTTCGTGCACAGGTTAATGAGTTCCATATTTGTATCTTTAAATAGATAATGATTTTTAAGTGATTACCGAGTATTTTCTGAATTTTGGAATCGGTAGTATCTTCGTTAGACGGCAGTCTAAAGCACGAATAAAAATTATAACAATTATTCCTACCGGTCAGATACAGTTGTGTTTTTGCCAATAGGAGAGGAAGTATGGATTATGGGAGCACTGGAAGTACTGAAAATGAATAGCTTTCAATTACGTAAATACCTTGGGATTTGGGCTATGAAGTCATCAAATATATTGTAATCTGGATATTGTGGTTTGATACAACCAACTTCACTGGCGGCCACATCAATATCCATTGAGTTGTAAAGGAAATTCTTCTCTAATTTCTTGGCATCCCTGAAAAATACGTTAGACAGAAAACGGCACCTACCTTTTTGGTCTCTTACTAGGCATTGGCAACGTATCATCGTCCATGTCTGCCTTCTTGAAGCCTTGATCATTGCTTCTCAAAAGCTCTACACACTTTTTACAATTCTCATAAGTATCTAGAAGGGTGATAATGAAATATGCCAACTTACCAAATTCCAGTAGTTCACGGAAATGAAACACTGACCATCCAGTCCCGGTACACATAGGCTGTAGATGGTTTGCTGTGCTGCTGTACACACATAAACCACTTCGCACAACCCAGGTGTTTGGGATGGCGACTAAAGTGTCATCTTCTAGCGAACGGACGACGAGATATCTGATTGGTGTAGAATTCTGCAAAAGGATATGTAATGAAGTGGAAATACGACTGTTACTTTATCTGTATCAGGTTGCTTAAAATGAATAACAGCATGGATATACCTATATCTAAAAAACTTGGAATAAACTGTCAAATGAACTTCAGTTTGACCAACAACATTAACCAGTTAAAGGTAGATGTTCGGACTTGACGACAAATAGATGTCACAAAAAACTTAGACGAATTACATATCAACAGTTCAAGCAAAAAATTACGGCACAGTACCTTCAATTAAAAGTATGAAGCAGGGGGATGACTACTTCGTCATTAGTTGTTGGAACAGTCATGCACTTGCAGACAATATTCACATAGGATATCCAGTGTGTTTCGTGACTGAATTTCGAACATCTAAATATCCCTAAATTCCTTGACTTAAACGGTGTCGTAAAATCATCACTATAATCACTGTAGGGTCGAAAACGGATCCTATCTTCACTTTCCACTTCAACTATATTCCCTGGTTTACCTAAGGCTAAGATGACGTTGCCCGGAGAATAAGATGTGAATATGGTATTCCGATACGTCAGCTTTCCCTTGCTGAATTCAATCAACTAATCAACATGTGCTGATTAGTGAATAATTTTGAGGACATTTAAGGTTTCGGAGAAATTTCCGAGCATACGGGGCAATCAAGGAGTTTGACAGTATGTATGGGAAAATGCATTTCCTCCAGATGTTCCTCAAAGTCCTGCATTATTTTCCCTGAGCTATCACAAGATTCCTATTCGGGCAGAATAAGTAAAGAATGGTCGGATAACGGTAGTTGTGCTGACAAAAAGGCGGTACTTTAGGAAAGGGCTGAAAAAAGGGGGAAATTATTTAAATAATGGTCAAAATGTTAAAAATCTTGTCACAACCGAAATTCGCTATTTTCCTTGATATAGGCCATGCCCACTTTTCACCAATTTTTTATTCGGGACGTCAATTATTGTACTAATTTTTCCCTTCTAGCATTAAAAGAATTATGGTTCCTGTCAAAATCTGATAGCGAGTTTATGGAAGAAGTTGTCTTCGATGCTTGTGGTACAGATTACACCTACGTTGGTACCATAGCCAACAGTTATCCAGATGAATGTTCACATATTCGCCTTGTTTCCTGCAGTCTGACATCTGTTACGTATAACAAGACAGCGCCTTTATCAAACAGCGATGCAGCTTTACTAAAACATTTCAACGGCCTACTAGATCACTGCCCGGGCTTGATCTATGTTTTCGAGCCATGTGTGGCATGAAGACTATAGGACTTAGATCCGCATGATTTTAGTAATAAATGTTTACAGAATGCTTTCGACATTACATAAAATAGATCCTAATGACGTAAATGTATTCGCTTCTCCCTATATTCTTTATCCTGAAGATTCTCACCAGTTTCGATTAATTTTACTTTCCTCATGGAACTTATTCGGTTGTAATTTCATTACGTTTGCTTTGTCTGTTTTTGTTTTTTGGTTTGTACGAAGTCAGGAAGCCTTTGAATGCGGCTAGTGTGGCCACTCAGATATATATACTACGATTAATTTCCTCCCTATGGTCAAAACATGCACAATCCAGCCTCCACGCAAAGCTAGAAACCATGGAGCTTCCATCTTGTTTTCATCCATTAGGAAAGAGCTTTTATTCGCCATTTCTTTCGTAGGTCCTTTCTGTTGAAACCAGCACTATTAATATTATGCTTCATGAAGGATATTTTCGCTATGGATGGGTTTCGCAGCTCATTCTTCTCCATTGTTTTTACTCCCATCGTTGTAATTTTTATTTTGTCTGTGTTTGCCTTCACCTCTTTGCTGGATGACTTTATCTCAGAAAATCATGTTACGTTGATGGTTTTTTAGTCTTTTATCACTTGATTTTAGGATTGTCACTGTGTTATTGTCTGACTACACCTAACTCATCCCCAGTCTAGTTTTATTTTGGTTAATAAAAAGGTGGTTCTTCATACGTAACATGTGTCTCATCCACCTAGGTGAATAAAGCTTCAAAATCTCATCAACACATATTCATCTTTATTTCCAGAATACGGTCTTAATTAGTATACTTAAGTTTCATTACCTGCTGAAGAGTAAAGATATGATATACACACCTCTGTCTGCCCCAAAAGCCTGCCAATTTCTTTGGGTTCATTGACTGTGAGCTTCACAGGATCATGGGATCTAGAGCCTTAGATTGTGTATTGCTTTAGTTATAACAAGAATACTGATAGTATTTCTCTTGAAATGGAATGATAATTGGTTTTCATCAGTTCGATAGAAATGTCTCGCATAAGAATTCATCCCAGTCAATCTTAAATCCCCCTAAAGTCATTCCATCAGATCCTGCCGTCTTTTGGTGTTACGTATATGGGCCGCGGGGTTTAATTACGAAGTCTTCATTGTCATTTCAGATAAGATTGTGACTGCTTACGTCAATGTGAAATGAGGACCACATCAGTACCAGGAACTTCGTTGATCTAGAATTTGACTTTTTTTGTCGTGTGACATGGTTTTTGCCGGTTGATGGATTTGATCTACGTTAATATGTCTATTGGACTAGAACTGGTATAAGTGCCTGGCCTCTAGGAATTTTCTGCCATTTCCAGCATTTCCACTGGGTAAAATTTCCACAACCCCCCAGTCAAAATGACATTCATAATTGTGTATATGTGTTGGCATGAAGGAATACATGTCATATCTTTTGATGGTTAGTTTATGCTGATCTTGTCTTCTTTGAAAGTTGGGTCTTTTGCTTTACGTTGTACCGAATGAGGTGATTATTCTGGTTTGTGTGCGATATGTTTTCTGAATGCTTTTAGTATTCTAGCCACAACCTCAGAAGTATACTTCATATTCGGTAGGATAAATCTTATTGCGGTTTCTAAGAGTGAGTTCTTGACGGTAGTTTGTTCTTAGTTTAGACAGTCTATAATAAAATTGTGAGAGTATCCATTTTTGTTGAAGTCAGTCAACAAATATTTCTGTTCTCTTCAGGACTCCTGCAGTGTGTTTTGGCTCTTTTGAATAATTTTTGTACTCAGTTTCTTTTGTGTGCTGTCACACTACTATTGTTATATTCGAATATTTGATCTGTGTTGGTTGGCTTCTTGCATACTTGTGATTCTGGAGTTCCTGTGTTTGTTCTCTTAAATAAAGCATCCAAGGATTATATCGTCTGATTTCTCTTCTCTTGTGGATTTGACGTCCTCAAACACATTGTTGATAATTTCTTCTAATCACTGCTAATATGTCATCTACGTAAAGTATCCAGATTTTTGATTTGGTCAATGGTAAAATAACAGACTTAGTGGTTAGTTCTGATGGCGTGACGCCATTGGTTTCGCCTTTATGTTTTTGCATATTCGACCATTGAATTGGAAATAGACTGTAATACATAAATTTATGAGTTTCATCCGATTTGAGCACTATATTTTCTCATGTTAACGGAGGTATTCTTTGCCATGAATTAACTGATGCACAGATTTTTGCCAGTTTATGTTTAACTGAAGTATATAATGTTGTAGTGTAGAAGGATACCATGATTTTGCCGTCATCTGGTTGAATATCTTTGATTTTTTCTAGAAATTGTGTTGGCTATTTGACAGGATAGTTGCCGAATGCCGTTGGATGTTTTGTTTTTATAAAGAGTTTTTTCAACAAGTTAAGTATTAGGGGTCCTGATAGCAAAATGACTGCTTGTGAAGGAATGTTATATCTTGTGTAATTTCAACCCATCATAAAGTCGGGATAAGACAGGTCCGTTAGATTTCATTCGCCATTGGTCTTGTTTTTTTAGCTCGTGCTGAATTCATGAGTTCATTGAAAATCGTTTTGATATTATCATCTATTGTTTTTTTTGTTTTTTTCCTTCACGTTCCCCAGTAGAACATATGGCTTCAAGCTAGTGGCTTGAAGTTTCTGTAGCAGTGTTTATTTTACAGGATGGGGTTGCTAGCCTCATGCCCAACCTTTCCTCTTTAGCAGCATTATTTCTGGCTCAGCGAGGTAAAGGAGTTCGTCGGCCGGGGATCGAACCCCGGACAATGTACATGGTCGACGAGCGTCCTAACCACTATACCACCGACGCACATCATCTATTGTTTGGAAAGGGTTTATGGCGACCTGTTGATACACATCATTGTCTTTAAATAAATCATCTGCCTTTTCATTCGGTCTTCTGTGTCCATCACTACCGTTGTTCTTTATTTGCCACGTAGTAGTGTAACTATGTTCTTACTGTTCTACAGCCCTTTAATGCCACTCACTGTTACATGTTGAGTTAGGTATCACGTTTCTTTGGCTCGATCATGGACAGAATGAATTAATATATTTGTTGTTGAACCTCTTCATATAATTTTGAACATATGAGTGACGATTTAGGGGGAGCAAAGAAATCTGTCTTTGTAACTTCTCCAGCACTATAATTCAAATCATTCTGGAGAAGTTTTTCCATGTTTTGATAAATTTACTAAGCATTCATTCAGTGCAGTTCCAGATGGCTGTTTAGAAGTCTTGATTAATTTCCCTTTAAAAGTAATTCGTCTTCGTTCTTTGCGTCCTTCGCTTTATATTTTAATGGTAGTATTCAAAGCAGACAGGCGTTACGGTCCGATAGTTCGTTCTAATTTTCCTTTTTGAATTATACTGACATGTTGGTGTTTTCAAATCCAGTAATGTGCGTCAGTTATCACAAGTTTTATTATTTGTTTTCCACACTCTCTGGCTAATTTCCACCCTAAGGTGTAGTTTATCGGTGGTTTATACTTGACACTAGCTGGTAGAACTTCTTGACGAAGACTTTATAAACATCAATCTGAGCTAAAGATCTTCTCTATCATTTCAGAGACAGCTTTCTGAAACTTTAGTTGTAATTGGAAGATGATTAGTTACAGCGTATTCAAGAGTCATCAGAAACAGATCATCCAGTTACCGAGAAAATTAATATATGGGACATATATAATTCACTTGTGTAGTGACTGCTGTCAATAAGCTTAATGATAAGTACAAAATTGCAGCTCTGATCAGAGTGGAAAATCAGTTTCCTATTGGTTAGATTACGCAAAATTTCAAAGATGGCACTTCACTGCTAAAGTATGCAGTAAATAATCGGTATTCTTAGAAGTCTAACTTAATTACTTTGAATTACTAGTGTTCCTTGGTTAAGTTTTCTTGCTTTTGCTAGCTGTATGTTCAGAAAGAAAGGTAAATCAGCCAACAAGTGAGTGATTCTCCACACATTCAGATGTTTGAAACGTGTGTTACACGTTTTATGCTTCGGTCATTCTTAAAGAACAACTTTAATAGAAGTACAATTCAGATGGACAAAGTTTGGACCGATTATACAGGAACACAGTATAAGTCCATAAATCCATCGGCAATCGGTCTAGGTTTTGTAATAAGGTGCTAGGGCCCTTGAGGTGCTAGGAATCAATGATTAAGAGTTCTTGTTTTCATAGCTTAGAATCATTCCTATTCGACCAGAATTACTCACTGTATTTTGTATTCAAAATTCTTAGTTTACTCTTGGATCTCCATTTTATTATTACTCTTTTCGTACACACTTCGAATTTTAAACCGTAATAGCAACTGCTCTTCACTACGTATGTTCTATGTTTGTCTGTTAGTTAGTCACATGCACGTATCTGGGGTCGAAACCAATTCGATGTATTTTGTAGTTAATTTTAGCAACAATAAACGCGACATTACAACCATTTTGAAATAACTTTACTTTCAGTGTAAAATTTCATAAGTGAATCAGTTGATGTCCTCCAATGAACGGACTTATCATTCTTTTCATTTCTCGAGGTGACTGCAATTCGTTTTCTTCAACTTTTATTTCCTTTCTTTTAACTGTAGTGTAGTATTATTCCAAGAGAATATATTATTGTTTCCATTTCCACAGATATACAGTCATATACATACATACTTTAAGGGAAAATGAATGAAGTTCATTTTTGATGACTTATGTAAGTCACTAAGAGGGTCAGTCTGTTTAAGGTGGCAGCACACACATACACTATGCTACGGTTAAAACATCAAATAATTTGAAACTCTTTGTGGAGTTGTCAATGATTTGATTGTGTGCTATGCTTTCATGACCTCATGTTACATTTAAGTAGTCAGGTGGTAGTTTTAGCTGACATAAAGTGAATGTGTGGTGAGTGCTACTTATAATCCGATATAAGTAGTATATCAGAAACGAATTCAGAAAAGTAACAATATGTTTTGCACACTGGAAAGAGCAATCAAAGAAGAGAACCATGGGAAGAACGTTGCCATATGATGCAGAATCCAAGAAGCTATCAAATGTGACGATATTTGACCAATTCGTCAAGGATGTGGTAAATGATGTGCAAATGGCGGTTTGAAAATATGGTATGCCAAATTTACCTATGTACAATACGTTTCATCAAATAAACATACCTTTCAGCCTCCTCGGTCTTTTCACCTCTACAAATGTACTTCACACAGTTGTACTATGATCCATGAGTGAATGTTTAAACCAACGGTTGGAAACAATTGGTGACATGGCTCAAAATCGTTCTCAATGGCTGGGCGCAGATGCATCCACTCCTTGTAACTTACGATTTCCAATCAAACTGTTTTGTTCTTCGTTATTACTATTCCTTTGTCTCACACCTCTGTTTACTGTCTATACTATGCATTTCTTCTACTTTCTTCTCTTGCTTTGTGTGCTACATGGTGTGGCGAGTTGAACTGCCGCACATATGTGCAAAGTTCTATGTCGAAAACCGACCGACCGGATGTTTAAATAATTCTACTCCTAAATGAGTGATGCAATTTATTTTTCCGAGTTTGACCACGGATTGATATCAGTTAGAGAACCACTGAAAACAAGCAGGGAGTACTGGACAGCTGTTTCATCCTAGTTTGGGAATCATTGGCAGTAGGCACCCGTCGCTAAGGTTCAAACCCATGACCTTCCGGTTACAAGGCAAGCTCGTATACCATTCAGCCACTGGGACTCGATTCAATGGCCCATAAATGCAATTTAGATCAATCTTTTTCCACTAGTCACGACTAAATACTACTTCGTTTAAGTTACTTTTGTTTTTCCTGAAGACTGATTGAACTGAAATGTTCCGTTTCTGTTGACATGCCAGCTCCTAATATGGTAGCTTCAACGGTGTCTGAAAGCTAAAATACTGTTATTTGATGGATGGTGACTATCAGTGGAATCCTGTTTGTGACTTACAATCCCTAGTGAGTGATGATGTTTTCACCGAGACTTGGACCCATTTTGGTCCAGTCAGTCAACGGGTAAAAACAGAACTGACTTAAACAAAACAATAACTTCTTTCGTTTGCACAAGAGGTGACTCTGGTGTCATAAGTGGTCTGGCGGATAAGGCTTTGCCGTATGAAACGAAAGGTAATGGGTTTGAGTTTCAATGGGAAACACCATTGCTGACTACGAGTTGCTGGTCATCCAAAAAGTCAAAAGTAGGACGAAATGCGAATTCTGGATTTCACTGCTAGTCACCATCCACCAAATAACATCAAGACTGAATGTTGTTCTACATTCATATCCATCTACTTTTTCCGTATTTTTCATTTCTTGGATCCAATTTTAAAAGTCAAATCGTCATTCACTATTCACAAATTATTAAAAAAACAAAGTATGTAGGCTTTTCTTTTGAAACAACAGGTGAAATTTCGTGAAATCTAAATATGAGATTTCTCCTACTAATTTTTTGTTAACTATTTTTCGATTAGCTAGAAGAACGAATCAAAGTTTATGAAGCCGAGATTAAAAGAAAGGATGAGTTAATTCAAAAGTTATCCAGGTAAATTGGCATACTTTAAATTTTTATAGCCTTTAAATGATTTTCTTTTTCTTCTACTTAGCATGGATATTGGTCAGGTTGAACATGTGAATGAGTGCAATAACCATAAGAAAGTGGATGAATCTAATGAACAGCAACAAACACTCATAAGGCGTGAAGAACTTGCAGTTTTAAGAAGTAAAGTTGAACAGTTATGTGAAAAAGTAATTCTCCAATTGATTTCTTACTTTTTGCGTTACAGAAGTTTTGAGACTTATTAAATGTTTGATATATTTATCCTTAGACTGGAGCTTTGTACATTAAAAGCACTGTAATTCAGCTCAATGCTTCAGTTCCACATAGTGCAAATAGTCGGCATTTTTTATTTCCTTGCGTTCTGAAAGGAAAATATGGCTTAGAGCTTTGAATTTTCAGTAGTGGTAGCGTTGTTTTCACGAGGTGGGGTCGCTAATCTCTCAGTAAAAGTTTCCTCTTCTGCAGGATTACTAACAGTAAGGTGAGATTTGAGAGTACATCGGCTAGCGAACACTTTACCATTGGACCACCAACTCAGACATTCGATGCTTCTAGTAAACAAGATAAATGTTCATTATAATAAAGTTTTTTGTATTTCCCAATGAATGAAAAACAAAACGATGTTGTTTTTTAAGATAAATGTTATTTAAAAGTAGCACAATACAGCAAACGCAAACGGTAATGCGCAGATATACGTTAACAAAGAAAGGGTTATGCAATTGGGACGCATTAGTATGCAGCTAAATGTCAGGCTTATAAACTGTTGGATAATAAACTGCCTGTGAAATTTCATAAATTTACTTTTCACCACTAGTTTTACAAATACTTTTTAAAATGATAGACACACAAAGCTTGATACATAAGTTTCCAAAGGTTTCATGGGATACGGTGCAAAACTTCATTTTCACGAAAGCACTATATGTAACCCGGTTTGAGAGAAATATTGTACATATTTACAGTAAATAATCAAACTGCTTTGGTGAGTCCTTAGTGTTGTTTAGAAAGAATCATGGAGATGATTTCGTCACCCTCTTGTTAATAATATGACGCTGCACCAATTATAATGCTAGAGCATTGAGAAAAAGTTTAAAAAAGGATTAAAAATGTCTGCGATGATGTTATTGATGAAGAAGGTTTTCCTTCCGTTCTAGACCCATATCTAGAAACCAACCAGAGTGGCTTTCAGCACAGACTTTGCCATGAATCAAAATAAGTTGTAGGATTATTGAAAACCAGAGAGAAATGGACAGATGTTTCATCATAGTTTGTTACTGTTCAGAAATGCTAACCAACGACCCAGTCAGATATGAAACTTAAGACCTTCAGATCGCTTACCCATTACATTTACCAGTCAGTCTCTCAGTGGTAGTCCAGTTGACCATTAATACTGGTTTCTTTGATTGGACACTAGTAACTAGTGTGGTATATTTAGTCCTTTGTTTGGTGCAGACTGAATTCTATCAGTCAGGTTTGCAATGTGGCCTCCACTCTAGGTAGCTCCCTATCACAGTGCACATTGATTTGATGATGTTAGATGGACGAGTGCATTAGACGAGTGCCAACTAGCCCGAAACCTAGGTCCAAGGTTTCCTGCCGATCGCCTCCAACCATCTAATATCATCAAATACTGGTTTCTGTTAGTTCATCATAAGAAATATCCGCAGTGATCATCCTTCTTCTCACTCGACTTGTTGGGCCACATCGTTCATGAATTCTAGTCAGAATTCCAGAATATCAGTCCTGAACACCTCGTTGATGAACGGTCGTTTACTACCCAGATATTGGATTGTAAACAGTAAGCATGAGACATGAGCAACCTGCAGGTCTTGAATTGGATTACTGGTCAGGTCATTGGTCTGCACTGCTAAAGTGTCTGTACTGTACTGTACTGTACTGTACTGTAAGTGAAATATCACATTCACTTGTTGTTTTATTACACAGCATTGTTATGTTTGTTGATGACTTCACTTTCGCGTGTGTAGTGTAGTAAATGAAATTACCGTACAGTAATGTTAAACTTCACGCTGATTCAGTCTCTATCTCCATTTTTAATGTTACATCAGGATAATAAAAATTAATAGAAGTTCAAGTGTTGGTTTGTAGGGATTTGATTGGTTACAGGATTTTCATCATGAGCTGACATTAGTTAGAGAACCATTGGAAAACCTGGTAGTACTGGACAGCTGTTTCGTCCTAGTCCGGGACTCTTCATCAGTACGCACCCACCGGGATTCGAACCCAGGACATCCTGGTTACAAGGCTGTCCGGTACTCCCAGGTTTTCCAATGGTTCTCTAACTAATGTCAGCTCATGATGAAAATCCTGTAATTAATAGAAGTATTACACTACTAAGTAATTTCAAAGAATATGACTCATGCGTAGGACTGCAGTCAACTGACCATGTTTTTATTAGATGCTTCAGAAGTTTTCTTAAAATGGCCCTTTTGTAAATAGTGAAGGATTTTACCAATGTACAAAACAGCATTCCTGAATTTTAGTTTAGAGTATTATACTCTGTGTGACTGTTTTTATGGAATAAAGCAAATTATTATTATTATTATTATCATTATTATTATTATTATACTGCCACGTAAACTCAAAGCAGATTTTTCAGATTCAGCTGAGGCTTTCATGATCCTTATTGCCTTGATTTTATCTGTGTGGATACCAAAAGTGAGATTCATACGGTAGTATTTTTAAAAGTATCCTCTGTAAAGGCAATCCATATCGTTTTAAACTTCTGTAAATTCAGAAGAATAATTAGAACGAATAATTGCAGTAAATAAATTCTTTTTAAAGCTTCACAATTATATATATATATATATATATATAAAAATTAGATTGTAAGAGACGATCCTCGTTGTGATATCGTTAACATCAGACATCACAGATACTCTTAATATAGTTTTTTAAGTACCACAGCTTCTCCGCATCAGCCTTAAAATCACCTGCTGACATAATCGTTTCTGAGCGTTATCTTTGAAACAAACTAAAGGTCTGAAACTTCATCGTTAACTTACCCCGAACTCCACTCAGTAAATTCTTACGAAACTATTTAGCTAGACTTCACTTAGTGTATTTCCATGCTATTTCTACGCTGACAATCCAGCAAGAACTGCCTATAAAGTCTACGGATATTCGTATAATAAATTTTGCAAATTTAACATGTTGATCAGGAGGAAGAGGTTAAGCGAATAAGAACACTTGGGTCTTTCATGCGTATCTGAGAGATAGATAATTTGAGCTCAATTAACCGGAAGAGATTTTTAAACAACATGCTCTCAACTACACTTTATTATGTAAGAACTGATTATTCTACTCATTCATCTAATCTGAAGTAAGCTGTATGGCATTAGAACCCTGGCTGCATTGACCAGGTCCAAGTGCTTAAGCTACAGAGAGAAATCTCCATACCAGGGATACCCGCCTAAAACTTCAGATGCCATAATTTTGGCCAGTATGATTTGCTATCCAATTTCACTAATGTCGATAGCATGGTCAGAGTGTTGATGCAAGCTAAAGAAGTTGTATGGAGAGTAGTATTAGCAACCTGCCATAGTAAAGTCTGAGAAAATTAAAAAGATCAGTAGCGTATTTAATGGACAGAGCCTTTCTTGTTGATAGGATGGTGTGGTCGATTGACACTTCCCGGCTGTCCACACAATGTAAGTCAGTTTCACCTCTGACTGCCTGAAAGAAAAAAAGCATCATTTTTGTGTAGCCACAAAGCCCACAGAATGACTGTCCGAGGTAGAGTGAACATGACCTGACGGAAAATTTGGTCTTTCTAAAGACTTACTCAACAAACCAACAAAAAAATGAAACCAGACGGACGGCTAAAGTATTCAAGATTTATAGTGAAGCTCAGCTTCCGAATTTCTTTGAGCAGAAGTATCAGGCCTCAGAGCCTTAGTTGATGCATAACTTGCAAACCAAAGTGAGGTATAAACGTAGTGTTTACTGGTTTTTATGAAAGTAATTTCATCCTTATTCGTACTTACTGTACACGGCTCTTGTTATATATTCGCTAATTCAACTCAATCCCTTGAGGTATTAGAAATGTGGAATGTATTTAAGAAATCAGACAGCCTACTATCTGATAGTCTTTTCAATAAACTGACTTTAGAAGTGCTTGTAAATTGACAAATTGAGTTAGAGGTAGGATGATATAAGTGTTTATCTATTTCATTTTGAATTATTAAATACATCGCTTAATGTAATAAAGCTTTCTTAATGCTGTTTTATATACTCTACCGGTAACCGATGGTTTACTGATATCGAAATCCGATAATAATCTACATACGTTTCATTGATTTCCCATTGTTTGTTCGAATTCTGATGTGAAAAATATTACGAAATACAATCTATTCCGTTAAACACCTGTCACTACTATTATTATTACTAATATTTTCATATTCATTATTTTAATTATACACACATAGACATTAAGTCAAGATGCTGAGATAAAGGCAAAATCAACCCTTCTCACAAAAGCTGAATCAGATATATTCAAGTTAACACAAAAACAAAATGAATTATTAGCTGAGAATGAAAAACTTCACAAACAACTTGCAGATAGTAAAACAGACATTAATAAAAGTTCAACTGAATTTGAAATGTGCAATAAACAGTTGAATGAATTAAAACAACTATTGAAAAATGAACAAGATAAAACAGATGAATTGAAAAAACGTTTAACGTAAGCAAAAAAAGTAAAACTCACTTCTAATTATTTTTCTTAGTTAAATTCACTAATGAGTTATTTTTTTTTAATGAATGAATAGTAAAGACAAGTAGTTGTGATAATAAGCAGAATTAGTACTTAGTTTTAGTGTTTAGTATACAGCCGAAGTCACATAAGCCTATTGAGCATAATAGCTTCTATGTTCAAAACGAAGTCTTACATAGCCCTATTCTGAGCATTAACTGAGCATACCTCGTGATATAATAATTTTTTCTTCTTTAATTTTGACCAAGTTTTTTAAAGAATGAAGAAGTAAGGATAAAAAAGAGGCACCTGAGTAATTTAAAAAGACGACAGGAGTCGTGTAAAACTAAAGGGAAATTTTCGCCAAGCAGGTCTAGCAACTAGTTCAAAATGGGGCCAAGTTAAACTTTAAGCACTACTAACTATCAATAGCTTGCGAACGCACCAATGTCCTTGGAACGCTCACCAAGCAAGTTAGTGAAACCTGGCAAATAATGTTGTCATCACCAATAAAATATGCTCATCAAAGTGTTATTTTATTAAATGGCATACCCGGCAAGTCCCAGCTCAGGTTTGGGAAGGATCAAGTTACGGTTTAAGCCAAGGACAAGTCAGGGTTAGGTCAACCTAATAAAGGCGAAATTATGGTTGGTTCGAGTTAGATTACAGTTAGTTTAGAGATATTTTCACGTTACGGTTAGGTTTAGGAAAGATAAGGTTTATTGTTAGGGTTAGAAGACCTATATAATTACATGCATAGATTGTGGTTAAATCACTCTGTTGATATAAGAATAGAACTTGTGCACTGTGGGGTAGAGTATAATTCCATTGCGGGTAAAATTTATTCTGATAAAGTCTCACAGTGTTTTACAGTAATATTTACTGATGACCACGTTTCGAGAACAATTTATTGCTCCGTAAATATTACTGCATAACCCTATGAAAGTATGTCGACATAAATTTTACCCACAATGGGATTATACTTTGTAGATACTCCAACATAAAGCTGAGAGCTATTTTTATCACATGTGAGAGTAAGGTATCCTCCGTAACATTTTTAAACAGTTTTTATGCACTTTTTGTTTCATAAATTAACGTATTTCGTAAACAAAAATACCTCATTCACGTGATTGGTGAGTTCGAGGTCATTTGCTGATTGGTAGATAGTGGTGCTGAAAGTTTAACTTGGCCGGCCGTTTTAAAACTCAGTAATTACAAATATACAAAATCTGGGTTAAGGACAAATGGAACCTGGCGAAAAATGTTCCTACATAATATAAGAATTATCAGCTTACCTTCCCTGACACTAACTTATCTTAAACAAAATGCACCACAATGAGCATGTCCGTTAACGGACTTGCTGAAGCTTTTTATGGTCATCACACCTCCACATGAACAAATCCTTTCTTTCCTGATTAACCCTATATCTAAGCAATACTGAAAGACTTGGTCCTCACCAAGTTGCTAACTTTATTGCGTTACAGCAGGCATTTGACTAGAATCAAGCGGAACAGAAGCGTCAACTCATGTGAATAAAACTCACTGGGCCATTCAAGGCCACTGGTGCTGCCGCACACTATTGGTAGTTATTGGTGCTTAAATTTTAACATGGCCCAAAATACATTTCCTATTCATCTCAATTTATCCTCCGCATTAATCAGCCAGGTCAGGAAATCACCTAGGAAGCCGTGAAAGGTTTCATGATAAGCTATTAAAAAAAGATAATTTAGTGACCTTGATTCGAACCCACTAGTCCGAAAGGGCGTGGGTCCATCACCAATGCGTCGGTGGCATAGCCAACCATGCACATGGTCCGGGGTTCGATCCCCGGCCAAAACACTCCTTTACCCCGCTAAGCCAGAAGAATGCTGGTGAAGAGGAAAGGTTAGGCGTGAGGCTAGCAACCCCATCCTGTATAAATAAACACTCCTGCAGAAATTCCAAGCCTCTAGCTTGAAGCCATATGTTCCACTGGGGAATGTGAAGGAAAAAAAGTGACCTTGCTATGTTGAACAACATGATAAGAAGTGAAAGATTCTAACTAAATAAACCTTGAACTAGTGATTCAGATTCGTTTCTGCTTTTACACACATGATTCAGGAGGGTAAACTCTGTGGCACCATAAAATGATATATTTGCAATAATTGGGCACTGTGATAGTGTGAAATTTCATATTAATTCACTGCTTTTGAATATATCGTCACATGATTAAACAATATTATTTGATGGATGATGTTTGGAACACTTGATATGATTATGAACAATGTATCCAATAAGTGAATGAATGTGGAATCGTTTTGACTAGTTGATCACGGAGTGATATCAGTTATAGAACCATTGAAAACCAGGGAGTACTGGACAGCTGTTTCATCCTAGTCAGGGAACCATCGCCAGTACGCACCTAGTGGGGTCCGAACCAAGGACCCGCTGGTTACGAGGCAAGCTCGTAAAAGAAAATCAGTCAGCCACTAGGACCCGATTCAATTCTAACTTCTACCAATTCGTGATTTAGCGCGACCACCGAACAATGTCATCGGTGGGATATCCATCCTTACACTTGACTGGAAGGACCTCAGTGGAGACGATTTCTCACTAGAACTTCAGGAAACTCCATCCTGTAGCCAGTCACTGGGGAGCATCAGATTAATTTTCAGTAGTTGGTTTCTAAGGATTAGATTTTCTTTTACGAGCTTCCATTATAACCGGAAGGTCATGGGTTTGGACCCCAGTGGGTGCGTACTGACGATGATTTCTAAACTAGGATGAAACAGCTGTCCAGTACTCTCTGGTTTTCAATGGTTCTCTGACTGATATCAATCCGCGGTTAACTCGTAAAAACAAATCTAATCCTTACAAACCCACTATTGAGAATATGGAATCTTCAAATGTTGGTTTGCAGGGAAGTCGTGACCAGCGCGGCCCACCAAGTTAGCTGAGAGGACAAACACTCAAGGACAACACCAGCTAGCGGATGCGCTATATGTCACCAATTGACAGAAGTCGAAATTTGTGGACTACTAAGTTCTGTTTTAACGCTGAGTGGTCAACGGGTTGACCTCGATAATTAAATTTTCTGAAGTCAGTCATGGTTGGGGTCGTTGGCGCTTACTGCCAAACATTCCAAAACTAGGACGAAATGGCTCTCAATTACTCCATGATTCTCAACGGTTCTCTAACTGAATTCAGTTTGCCGTCAAACGTCAATATCGAATCGCAAACTGATGTCAACTTTAAACCTATTTTGATAAGGCTATGAATGATTCACCAACTTCATGTCTTATACTGTTTACTTCATTTAGAATTTTAAAACATGATTTAATTTTACGTTCAATTTGTTTTTCTACTCGTTGATTTTCTTTTAAAAATTTAGTAAACAATTAGAAGAAAAAGAAAATGCAGATTATAAACTGGTAGAAACTGAAAAACGCTTAGAAAACTTCATAACAAAAATGATTCATATATTTGATACATTTTTCCAAAATAAAGAACACTTGAACATTACTGAGTGGAATGATGAAAGAAAATTGGAAGATTTAATAACAAAAGTAATCTCTCATTTCACATATATCTTTGATATTTAAATTTTTATTATTTCCCTGAAGATTATTATTATCGTTGTTCCCTTGGGCTCCGAGTGGAACATAGGGTTTCAACTGCTGTCCTCTTCAGCTAGAACCACGATTGCCCATAATCTCTCATCTCCTCACCGCAGGATCTTCTCCATGTCACCCTCGGACGACCAACTCGTTGTTTCTCATTCACGTTCCACTCGAGCAATGGCCTGCATTGAGCGCGATGTCATTCGATGAATTCCTCAACTTATGCCTGATCCATCTCCATTTTCTCCTACATATTTATTGAACAACAGGTTCTTGATTAGTTTTTTCACATAGTTTCTTGTTTCTAATTATTTCTGTCCTGCTATTGGATCTTCAGTATGGAGCCAGTGAAGGGGGCATCTGTTGATAAAAGTCTGCATTGGCCTGTTGGGAATGGTTTTCGTGAAACTCTCGCCAAGTTTCTGACTCATAGGGAAGAAGTGACTGACTTCACATTTGTGTTCAAAATCCGAATCTTGTTCTTTACACTGGCTGAGTGAAGCAGAAGATTTTCAAACTGATTTCAGATTGATGAAGGTATATCTTGCCTTTCCAATTCTGGCTTTGACATCTTCACCCGTTCCTACTGTGTTTGAAACAATGCTTCCTAGGAAGGTGAAAGAAGTAACCTCTTTTTTAAATTTCTCCCGTTGATAGTGATTGGTGCTATTTGTTGTCTCTGTTGGTTGGTTATCTTCATCACCTCCATCTTCGGTATGTCCACCTGAAGTCCTGTCTTCGCTTCACTCTTTTCCTGACGGTTTGTTGGTTTTTGCCTAGAAGTCTTCGAGTTTGTGTGACATCAAATATAAATCATCCACGCGCGAAATCCCTGAAGAAATCCGAACCAGCTGGTCAAATGAAAAGTTGGTGTGATTTATTTTACTTTCTCTGAGTTTTAAACAAATATAGTTTTTACGCATATCTGCTGTTATCTCTCTTGAACAGAATTCATATCAAGTGATCTAATTTGTTTTATATTTGATTAAATAGATTAAATACTTGTTTTACATAGATAATAATTGCAAAAAGAACGTTTAGTGCCACGGTAGGTTTCTGTTTGTATCAGATATAAGACTACGAAATTAACTGAGAAAGTCAAACAGTTTTAAAACCTAAATCTACCTACGTTTAATGAACGTTAATATTTAAGGTCAACTAACAAAGTTTAGCGTAAACTTGGTAACAGTCAGATGGTGGAATAGTTGAATGTATGATGATGCTTTAGGAGTAATTTTGAAATTTTCGCCTTCATATTATTCATTGTAAAGTGTTATTAGTGTGTCTGTTTATGTAGTTCATCTTGACAATGTGGAAGTTTCTATAAATAAAGTAAATTAAGAACGTTTGAAATATTTTATTATTACAAAGTGACTGAAGCACGTATTTTGAATTTCCAAGATTTACTTCATCACATTTCTGTAGGAGTAAAATGCATTGATAATTTGAAGTTATAAAAGCATATTTGTAGATACTTTACATTCCAAAATGGTACCTACCAACACCTAGGAATGTTTGAAACTGTTTCTTCTCATTCTAATCAGTTTTTAAATGTAAGTGTTAAAGGAACTACAATTAACTTCATCTCGAATATCTTCCTGTTGAATGGATTATAAAAAGAAAAGGTGGATTCTCAGTAACACATTCTATCGGATATCGTATTGTAACCACAGAAGACAAGGGCCAGGCAACAGATCGATTTATTAAGAAAATCAACAGAAATTTATAGATTTTTATTTACATTATTTTTCGTTATTGTTAGCAGAGAGGTAAAGTCTTCTGATTGGTTGATTTCCTGCTGAAGGTTATTCTGTCATTTCTTTGTTGCCATTTCTTAGACAGTCCTTTGATATATCTGCTAATCGTATCCGCCCACGCTAAGTCTGCTGTGATTGGTTGTTGAGTTAGTCTGTGTTCTTGTTTTTCTCATGACCCTGATTTGGGAAGTCAGCATTGACGTAAATAGCTGTCTACCAATTTTTGGCTAGCAGTCAGCTCCCACTACAGTATCAGTTCCTTGAATCGTGTAATTCGAAAATTCTTTTAGTGTCACAGTGTACTGTGTGTGTTTGACTTATAAGTGGATATAAGTAATATTTCTAGTAATGTCTTTAGATAAGCATTGATAATGTGTGTGTGCCTTGGATATGTTCCACATACGAGGCTTTTGATGAATGTATTTATAGACATGCGAAAAATGTTAAACACAAGTACTATTACTGCGACAGTTGTTTACTGACTGAGAAATAATGCACATTCTTTTGATCGGACACTAACTAGTGTTATTTGTCTAATTCTTTCAGTGAATTTTGCAACGTGGCCACCATGCTAGGAGGCTCACCAGCATGGTACACTCAGGATTGTTGATACTAGATGGTTGGAGAGAATTGGCAGGAAGCCTTCGACCTAGATTTCGTGCTAGTTGGCAGTCGTCAGCAAAGCGTATTTGCAGCTTTGAAGGGACTAGTGTCCAATCAAAAATATTCAATACAGTCCTACAGGAGGTCAGTCACCAGTCCGGACAGCTCAGGGGTAACGTCTCTGACTACAGTACTGCGTGACGCGGGTTCGAATCTCAGGAGGAACGTGAGTTCCTTCGAGGTTGCAGATACGCCTTGCTGACTGGTGAATGCCAACAAGCATGAAATCCTAGGTCCAATGCTTCCTGCCGATCGCCTCCAACCCCGGTGGGTGCGTACCGATGAAGAGTTCCAAACTGGGACGAAACAGCTATCCAGTACTCCCAGGTTTTCCAATGGTTCTCTATCCAATGTGAGCTCATGATGAAATCCTGTAACCAATCAAATCCTTACAAACCAACACTTGAATACCCATTCGGTTATAGTCTTACAAATAATTCCTTTATCCAATATAGGAGAAGTTAACGGGTGTGAAATTCTGTCATCAACATAATCAGGGGTAGTTAGTAAACAAATAGTAATTTAAAATAAGGTATGAATGAAGACATAGCAAATTCTTCATTATTTTATGCCTTATTCTAACTTTAACCTCTTTAAAAATTAACGGAACAATTTTCTTCAGTACAACTGGTAAGCAGTCGACTTCCTCGAAAGTAATTTAATTCATGTATTAATCCTATTTCGGGAATTAACTAACGGTACATGTAAAGTGAGCGGCGATTAAAATATGGAGATCTACACTAATATACTTCTGTAAGATGGTGGAAGTTTTTGTCTAATTTTAGATAACTATCAGCATTTAGAAGCTGAACTCACAGATAGCACAATTTTTGAATAAAGCGCTTAGCTGTTCAATAATAATTAGAATCGCAATATTAACCGAAATATGAATCGATTTTAATTTACAAAACAGTATAAATTATATTGTCAAGTCATACATTTAACTACATTGTTGAAGTGTGATTCTGCTTTAATTTAATTATATCATATTTTCTTTTAATAATATTTCTTTACATTTTCCCACAGGCTAAAGATGTTGTCAATGAAAATTTAAAAAACAAGGGATACATACAAGATTTAATGGACAGATTACAAAAACGTGAAGCTGAAAATGCTGAACAACAGCGTAATGCAAATCGCTTGGGTGAACTATTGACTAAAAATGTCTATTGTGAAAAAGAAAACAAAGGTTTAACTCAGGTATATTTTTCAAAAATTTTAAAAAAAGGATGGTGTTTAATTTATGCCTCAGGATAGATTTCATCGTAAACCGACGCTTGACAAAGTACTACTAAAAAGTAAATTGCACTAGAGAGCTACTGCTTTATCCCTGTCTAGAACTTCTCAGCAGTTGAAACTGAGGATAACATAGAATACTTGCTGCTGAAAGTAGACCAACTTTCGTTTCATCCAGTAGGTTGAAGTCCAGTCAACTCTTTCAGAAAATCCAAATGAAGAGAAAACAGCTGTTCATATTCTGTTTTATTTCCAGGGGTTCTTAGACTGATGTCGTTATATGGGGAAATCTGTCTTGAAATTAACAAAACTGTCATGTTGCCAGTCCATGAAGTGAGGACTGTTAACTTCTGTTTAGAAGAAGAAATATTTATCATACTTATTGTTTGACTGTTATGTTGAAAAACTGTCATTTACTTATGTCAGTATGATGAGTTTATATGTGCTATTTCACTTATAAGCATTTGTTTTTTGCCACGATGACAAGTGTGGCTAGAATGTAGTCTTTCCATATCAATATGTTCTGAAAACATATTGCTACAAACCGATTTTTTTTAAGTATTGGTTTGTAGGGATTTGACTGATTGGTTATAGGATTTCATCATGAGCTGACATTGGTTAGAGAACCATTGGAAAACCTGGGAGTACTGGACAGCTGTTTCGTCCTAGTTTGGGACTCCTCATCAGTACGCATCCACCGGGGTTCGAACCCAGGACCTTCTGGTTACAAGGTGAGCTAGTAGACCATTAAGCCACTGGGACCCGGAACATTGTCCAGCTTGGTTAGCCAGAGGAGAAAAGAAGAATAGCAGCAGCTCCATCCTCGAACACCTTGTCATCTCCGGACATCAAGCAACCCCGCATGAATCCTTCACTGTGCTGCACAGAGTCACTCAATATCGTACAAAGGGACTTCTCATACGCCATCTGTAAATAGCCGAAGCATTAGCTATTCAGAATCTGAAACCGGACCTCTGCATTCAAAAGCACTACATACATTCACTCGCCCTACCATGGTCAGAGTAAAGTTCTTACTATAATTTTGCTTCTTTTTTATTATCTCATGAAAATGAATCGTCGAAAAGAAAATTTTCTTCATTGTTTACGTCTTTTTCTTATAAAACCAAATTTTGTGTATTTCAACTAGTACTCAGTATTTCAAGAGGTTAGGAGAATAAGCTTTAATAAAGATTAAAAAAGTTGAGTAATTTTGACTACTCCACTGAACTTTAAGAAAGAGGGAATACCAGAAGTGATGATTTTACTTATAAGATTCGGTAATACAGTCAAAACAGGAAAATCTACGTTATATCATTTCTGCGTAGAGACTTGAGCAACTTGCTTAACAGCGATCTATTTGAATAGTACACCTAAAACATTAAACAAGACCAGTGAGAAAGCAGCAACGTTTTGTAAAAAAAAACAACAGAATGATTTAGGAAGTCGAGAGAATTATTGAGACGAAAAAGGGAAATTCAAAGTCAAAAGAAGAAACAAAACAACAGTGGACCTGGGTTGTTCGGAAGTCGTTTTATTTTACATATCATCTTTACATTACAACATTTCGGGAACCAAAACCCAAACGTCTATCCTTTTTTTAAGGAAGACACTTCCGTTCTTCATACTAGTGATTCATATTCAAATAAGTGATAGATGCGTGGAAATTAGGAAAAATCGTACCATGTACAGGTGCAATCATTATTTACTGCTAAAAGTCTAATTACAACTACTTCGATAGCAGTTATGTTAAACACAAGGAGAGAGATGTGAATCATGCAGAAATAGGCTCCCGGACTTTTTAATTAGATTTCCAGATCACCACTATCAGCTTCGGATGAAAGTGAATTAAGTGCAGACGTGGTATAATGATGGGTGTGTGACTGCTACTGATGTTAATGTATATCCTCGGGAAGTTGCTTTTTTCAGAATTATTAGGTATATTACGAGGGTTACTCAGGTTAAATAAATATGTATAAATATTGAACCAAACAGTAATGGTTTAGTGTAATATACTTGTTTCGTGTCATACAACAAACGTATATATATATATATATAAATACCAATAAAATGGGCGCCCATGTGATTGCAGTTTAGAGCTACTATTCATTTAAAGGCTGACAATGCAACACTTGTTGTTAATACATTCGAACACATTGAATTATGGGCGAACTACGAGTTGGACAGATTTATTGAATAGTCTAACACGATGCTCGGAACCTGTACCTTCTCTGAACTTGAAGATAATATTTTGCCTTTTGTCAGTTAGACTAATAGTCACTAGAACTCACTCACCCGGACCTGATATTTTTATGTATCAAACTGTAAGCCATACTTACTGTGTAGTGGATGAAGTAGATGGACTCGTATTCGAATATAGACCTCAACGGCTGAAGTTCAAGTGCTAAAGGTAATGTCTATATTTCCATCTATCATTTGGGTAGAAAATACCAACCAATGTGTTTGGTGTGTTCATCGACTGCCTGTTCACTTGTGCCATATTAGATGAAGTAGAGATACATTGGAAAACAGCTAAACGTGTTCAGAAGAAGATGGAACGCTGAAACATTGAAGTCGGTGGCTACTGTCCTAAATCATATAGCGAAATGTAGGTCATTCGGTGTGAATGTGCTAAATAGCCGGCAGTAACAGTTCGAGACTGTAGGTAGTGTGGTTCAAATGCACTCATACCTTGTTTTTCACATAAACCATGAAATAACAGTGTTTTACATATCTTATCTCTTCTTATTTTCACTTCAAAAGATACTCATCAGAACACTGATGCCTTTCACCAGTTGCATTTTGTAAAGAACATTTCATTCTACATTAATTCTTAGTGTGTGAATACTTAAATTGGGGAGCATTCAGTGTCATCTATCTGGTCCTTAGCGGTTTAACTGAATTATATCATTCATTTTGTAATGTGGTCATCAGTCAAAGAGACCGACCATCTCAGTAAACCTCCTGTAGGTAATGAGCCCAGATACCTCAGTGGCAACATCTCTAATCGCACCTTAGGTTGCATGGGTTCAGAGCTCAGAGGGAACATCAGTTCCTTCAAGGTTGCAGGTATGCCTTGTAGATGAGTGCCGATAAGCACGAAACCTAACTCCTAGGCTATCTAACAACTGCCGTCAATCTTCTAACAATATTTGTTACTGTTTAAGTTGTAAAAGTTTAGGAACTCTGAAAAATTATTTTAATAGTGAATGATAAGTGCTTTATTTCAAAATCAATGAGCGCATCTTTTACAGGTAATTGATACAACTCACAAATACGTCATTTTATCATCAACGGTTTAAAGCATTCCTAAAACAATTGCTCTTAAATCAGCTATTCAAGTTACCTAACTAAACTTCATATTTATCTAGCAAAAGTGTACAATGCTTTCTGAAAAAATTTACTCTATAGGAATTGGAATACATTCGACAAAATGAAAAGATGTTAGAAGATCGTTGTCGTGTATTGTCCAGAGAATTAATTGATGCACAGATTCATATTCGAGAATTAGAGAAACAGTTGGCAGAGTCAACCGAGAAAGCTGAAAGGCACAGTTGGATAAATCAAAACAGATTTGACGAAGAGAATGCATTGTTCCGGTATGTGTCTTTCATTTCTGTTCATTTCATTTTTCTGATTGAACTGGAGGTAGACATGTGCGTCGGTGGCTCATTGGTTAGGACGGTCACCGACTATGCACATGGTCCGGAGTTCGATCCCCTGCTGATGCACACCTGATATCAATGGTCGGCCTGCAAAATTTGGGCTACTGATATCGCATGCTGAGAATTCCATACTTGAACCGAAAATATGGTGTGGAATCAAGCTGTAATCAAAAAAATAAAAATAAAATAAAGGAAGATGAAACAAAGTTGTACAAAGTTTGTAGGAATTATTACTTCCTTTTTCAGCACGAATCAAAATGGACAGAACATTCCAAATACTGATAGGATGCATAGTGTTACTTAAAACAACTGGAACTAAAGGAATGCGTAGGAAGTTTGTTGCTTTCTTGAATTGTACAGATTTATTTTGAACTACGAAAAAGATTGTTTAACCATTAAATATTACTTTTAGACATTTGTGTTTCCATAGTTATGATATTAAATGAGAACTTTATGTCTTGTTGGCTCAGGCTCACTCATATCAGGTAAAAACATACACTAAGTCAATTTATGATAAAGAAAATTTCAATATCTCTGAGTTCGCTACTTATTTATTTATAAGGCTAATACAGTTACATTTTGAAAGCATTCATTAAGTTGCACAACTTTGTGAGTAATTACTCTGAAGAAGTCCCAGTGATTAAATAGTCAACAGACTTGCCTATTAGCCCCCCCCCCAGTTGGGTCACAGGTAATTACCGTTGGAAAGTCTCAAAATGGGACTAAATGGCTTTCCGGGACCCTCTAGTTTCCAAAGTACATAAGTGGTTCAATGGTAGGATGCTTGCCGGTCACTCTGGAGATCTGGGTTAGATTCGCAGTCAACGTACTCATAAACTCGCTGAGCCAGTAGTTAGCCTGGGGTTGAGGGAGGGTTGAGCGTGAGGGCAGTAATCCCACAGCGTGTAAACGACCCTACATCCATTGAAGCTTGGAAGCTTGGAGCCTGAGGAATTCCTCAAAGTCATCTGCTCCTAAGTAGTACTGAAATTTCACTTTTGTTTTATATTAAATAAAAAGTTAGTACTTGGACTTTTGAATTTTATACCACTAGCTTTTGGTAAAGTAAGAGGACAATAAATTGCAGTTATTTTGTCAATTACTGATCTAGAAGATTTTGTATTAACTAAGATGGAGAAGAGTTATGATTATTATCCGGTTACCTGAAACATAAATCAACAGATATAGAAAATCAATTAAACATTCTCTGTGAGTTATTAATATCAGATAATGCAGATAGGCAAGAAGTCACACTGTATCAAAATGATTTATTCCACTGCTTGTTTAGTTTGCAGAAATTTAATTTCATCCTGTTGTATTTTCCACAGTGACTAGTAATTTTATTTTTTTGTACTCCTTCTGAGTGATTCTCAGAAAGTGTTACGGAGAATTGAACTAACATGCAGTTTAAGTAGATTCTACTTTGATGTTTATGTTTATCTTTTTTGCTTCTCAAAATAACTAAACTAAGTAATGTTACTTCTAGGTCATTTGTGTTCTGAAATAAGTTTCATTGAAGTATTCATGGGTAAAATCTGGTCACGGTTATATAATGCCAGTGTTCTGTTCCGTAATTTATTTTCTATCATTTTTAAGTAGTTTTAAAAATTAAGGCTTATTTGATATACTGTAGAACACTTTGAAAAGCTCATATATTTTGTTGGTTTTTAATAAAGCTTTCTTCTACTGGACACTGATATCTAGTGTGATTTGACTAGTCCTTTGTCTGGTGCAGACTGAATTCTATCAGTAAGGTTTGCAATGTGTCCACCATTCTAGGTAGCTCGCCATCACGGTACACTGTGAATTGTTGGCATTAGATGGTTGAAGGCAATCGGCCACAGGAAGCCACACCTGACCTAGGTTTCTTGCTAGCTGGTACTCACTAGTCAGCAAGGCGTATCTGCAAACTCGAAGGAATTCATGTCCCTTCTGAGATTCAAACCCGTGTCACCTAGTGCTACAGTCAAAGACGTTACCACTGAGCTATTCGGGCTAGCGATTGACTTCCTGTAGGACTGTATTAGAGTGCCAACTAGCACGAAACCTAGGTCGTAGGCTTCCTGTCGATTGCCTCTAACCATCTAATAAAAGCTTTCTTTTGTTGATGGAGATATATTTTCACTGATGTATATTTAATTATCCTATCTTGGCTGACATGTATGTTGGCATTTAGGTCTTAGGATTTTCTTGTTTTCACAGACACCTTTATATTCCATTCCGAACTGTAACAGCTTGAAATGATACATTTCTGTCTGTGAGAGTGTAATAAAATGTATCCAATTGTCTGTCTATGTTTGTGAATAACCTTTTCTTTGACATCAGAAATGTGATGTATAAGATCCTAGCCATGTTGAGAATATCAATATCAGTGTAAGGTTAAACGAAATGTTCTTCGCAGATATCACTCACCACTAGCCACTATGAAATTACGTTTATTTGAACTATTCAAAATATTCTTAACGTTTTTTCTTGATACACGGACAAATATAGTTTCAATTGTATAAGAATAGAACTTGTGCACTGTGGTAGAGTATAATTCCATTGTGGGTAAAATTTATTTTGATAAAGTCTCGCAGTCTTATGCAGTAATATTTACTGATGACATTTCGAGCACAACTTATTACCGCTCATATTCATATCAAGTTATTCACACAACTTTCCTACTTTCTTTATGTAATTCCACTGTTTCTCATCTCTTGATTTGATTGGTAGTAATATTTTTCATATTTCTGGTATGAGTAATGGGTCATTCCTATTGCACAAGTTGGGTGTAGAGTCGATGAACAAGGATTTAGTAATCAACCTCTCTCTCTCCACCTACTTATATTACTTCTTAGAATTTTAACCCTCTCCCACCCTATTATGTGGCTGTGTTTTGATGCATGTAGTGCAATTGCTGAGCTTTTTCCTAAATTACTTATCATCGCGAGGTCAGTCATTTTCAGCGTTAGCTAAATTTTGACAGGCAATCTAACTACCCCGATCTACTAGTCTGAACAATGTAGTTGATCTCATAATGGTTCCAATTAATCTAGGTGACACGAGATAAGCCTTCACTACTCTAACTTCCCACATTCAGTTTTCTTGATATTTTTTATTGAATTAAGTGATACCATTAATATAAAACTCATTTATCAAAGGATGAACAGAAATTGTTCTCATTAAAAATATAGCCTAATGCCAATGAAATTTAACATTCCTTAAAACTCTTTAAATGACGATGAATATATATCATCAGTTAACAGTTTGAATTTGAGACACGTTCAAGGAAAATTGTCCTGACAATTTCGGAACTATATCCACACCTCGTGACATTTTTACTCAGAAAAGAGAAGGATGACTTCATCTCAGAAGTTTAATATATGAAAACACTTAATTTTTGAAAATCTGCGTATTAGACTTTTTAACCTACTAATTCTATTCGCATACAATTTCTGTTTAGAAATTCATTAGCATCGATGCTTTCACACAATAACTATCAGTGTAGTCCAACTGAAATATCAATAAAAGAAACTATTAGAAAGCTAATGAGTGACTTTCAAGAACAGAAAGATGTGAGTTGTTCGTCTTTTTCGTTAACTTCTTTTCCGTCTGTCTCTCTTGGTTTAACTACTATCGGTAATCTACCCTTTGACATAAATATTTGTGACTTGAAATATTCCACTATAAGTCCTTTCTGTTTTTTTAAATTTTCTGTTTTCAGAAGTGTTAAAATGATTTCTTGATGACTGATGCCTTTCAGTGACATTTAAGTTACTTTCTGAAATGCCGTTTAAAGACTAATGAAGAGGGATTTATAAATTTCAAAGGGTATTCTTTTTTACAACACAAAGAACGAAGTTAATGACTAAAACATCATTGTAATTTATCCTTGAAAAATCGTCAGCTTTACTACTTATTTCCACTTTGGAAAATTACCTTTAGAATTGTAGAAGTTTTTTCCCCTTGATAACATTTATCTGATTAACTTTGAGAGATCTTGTGTGTAATCATGTATTGTGAAATCAAAAAATCCCTGCAAACTAACACTTGAGAATCGTTGAGCCTTAGTGTAAGATTTCTACAACTGTAACATACTGCTGGACATAACAATAACATAGTTTCATTTCCAAATTTCCCATCACTGCTTGAATTCTTTCACCTCGGCAAGCTACATTTTAATAAATAATGACAAGTGAAGTATTCTATGTGGAAAATCATTTTTCTTTTGAAAAGAACTTCTCAAACTCAGGGATATAAGCTGTTAGTCTAAACCTTACGCATATCTTTGTTCAGCAGGGATTTGATTAGCTTCAGGATTTCATCATGAGCTGAAAAAGGTTAAAGAAGCATTGGAAAACCTGGGAGTTCTGGACAGCTGTTTCATCCTAGTTTGGAACTCTTCAACAGTATGCAGACACCGCCAGGGTTCGAACCAAGGACCTTCTGGTTGCAAGGCGAGCTCATAGGCCATTAAGCCCCTGAACCCAATCCAGTGGCTCATGAACTCCTGGGTTCGAACACTGGTGGATGCCTACTGATGACGAGTCCCAAACTAGGACGAAACAGCTGGTTGTCCAGTACTCGCAGGCTTTCCAATGGTTCTCTAACTGATATCAGCTAATGATGAAATCCTCCAACCAATCAAACAAAACCCCTACAAAACTAATACTTGAAAGTTGTTCTCTCACTCAGAAAGCAAAGCAGATATATGTCCTATGGTAGTATATTTGGAGTTTTTTTTTGTATTTAACGAATCTTATTAATACTTGTGGATTTTGATATCGTTTTCCAGTTATGTTCCAGACTTGAAGTTCGGTTATCTGATACGCAAGTTCGCTTGGATAATTCTCAGACTAGGAAATATGATGTTGATCGTGCATTGGAGAGAACAGAACGCGAATGCCTGGAGTTACGCGAACAGATTCGCCGTTTAGAAACTGATCTTACAAATTCTGACCTAATTAAACAAGAACAACGCTCAGAGAAACTAAAGGTATATGTATTACTAAATATTTGTATATTTTGACAATATAAGCCTACTCAATAATAGTAAGTAGTATAAATTTAACAACTAAATAACGGAGCGTAAACAATTAAATGGTTATTTATCATGAATTTTCTTTTATCACCCTGAAAGCTCTATTACTATCTAATTTCTGTTGAATAAATCAAGACTTGGATGTATTGTTCCATTTAGACGCTTATGCCTATGAAATGGTTACAAAATGAAATACCTCAGTTGTACTAATTAATTCTTAGGTTGGAGGATTTTTTTCAAAAATAAAATAATACGTCTCTTCCAGTGGTAGTGACGTTTTCAACAGTTATACCCGTCCATCCTATAGTTGTACTTATGTTTATGATTCTAGATTGATCTATCTATTTACTGGACATGATTTGTGATAAAACTGGCTGACTGAAAATTCATTAGTTGATCTCAAAACATAAATAGACAGAATAATTCTTCGAATTTAATTAGTGGATGGTGACTAGCAATGGAATCCAGGATGCGCATTTCGTCCTATTCGGGACTCGTCATCTGGACGTGCTAACAACCCCAGTGAGTGATGGTGTTCCCACCGAGGCTCGAACCCAGTGCCATAGCTTCAAACGGGAAAATCTAATTTAATTTAATTAAAGAATAATTCTTCCTCAGAATTGAACATTAAATTTCATTTTATAGTGCATCAAAATGTTAAAAATTGAATAAATATATGAGTAGCAGTCTTAACAGCAAAACTTTTAGAGTTCACGTTCTTCATATGTATAAACCAATGAATTTACACATGAAGTAGACAGTTCCTAGTAGTGATATGCAAAGTAAGAGATGACCAGCACTTATTGATGTGACTTTGTTGAGAGTGCTGGTGTAGGGAAGGCATTATTCTGAAAGTCGGAAAGCTCCCCATCAGACTGGATTCGAGTGGACGGTTACTTGTATGCTGTTCGGCTGGATGAATGTGCAAGCATAAAAAGAAATTGTGACACTTATCAATATCTTCGATAATCTGAACTTATAGAACACGATTTAAGCAAATACGTATTTTCGGTAAATTCTCATCAGGCTTTACATTTACAATGATGAAACACTAGTCATAGGCATTTGGATTAATGTGGTTAATAGAATATAGGATCAGAGTTCAGGATAACAGTCGAGGTGATCCTAATAATAATAATAACAAGGTAAAAGTCATTCAAGTTGTCAAATATCCAGATTGTTGAGATCCTGAAACTATTTCTCGTTTCAGAAGATTAAGCCTGATATGCAGAACACTATGCACTGTAACCGGTGCGGAGCAGCAGAAAACGGTTGGGCACCATGGTTATTTATTCTTCAAGCGGTAATGAAACAGATTTACTGTGGTTAATTAGTGCTAATGTCTGTAAATAAACGTTAATATATTATACAAGAATACTTCTGGTCGTATTTCTCCAACCTTCTGCCAACCAGTACACAATTAAGCGATGACAGCCTTCTTGTCTCGCGCCAATATGGAAACCACTTCGAACAAACAAACTATTCAGTGTTCACCAATGCTGACACAAGTGTTTATATAACCTAGGCAACGGTGAGTGTATAGATAGAGTGTGCATAGTGGGGGGGGGGTAGAGGGGAAAATAACTATTGTCACACAGCAGTTAGATAATATAATAAAAATGATGATAAATTGTGAAACAGAAAATAAAGTGTACAACTACAGCACAGCATAATATTGATAATGCAGCTGACGTTACAATTAAAACAAGATAAAAACATAATGAGGATAATATTTACAATTATCCGGTGTTACCGGGAGAGATAACTATAATTTAGGTTGAGTGCCAGGGCTAAGGAAAGGAGAGGGATCGAACAAACTATTTCTGAACACAGAGACTGGGTTGAAAAATCTTTATGGTGACTGCCTCAGCTATGCTTAGCAACCAAAGACGTACCAAACTGAAGGGTTGAAGTGGCACCCTGTATAGAATTGTAAAAGCTGAATTTTTGTCAATTTTGTGCCGGGTATCCACTAGGTGTGTCAGTATAGAAATTCTGAATGAATTCACGACTCCTCTGCCTAACCACGTTGGACAATGCTGCAGAAGGCGACGGTGGGTTTACCGAGTCATTTTACCTATCTGTGTAACTGTCTCCACATGAACAGTAAGATTTATGAATGCACGTTGAAGTTGCCAGACTCGGTAGTTTATCCTTCACGTGCGTTGGAATCATACGACGAGTGGCGAATTCTAAACACAATGCTGCGACATAGAATGTTCTAGTTATTAGTTTTCGACGCCCGCAATTCAGTGGCTGCGTCTCCTTTAAATGGTAGTTATGTATATGTGCACTTACACACCACCTGATTCGAGTTTGGATGAAGTGAATTATGAGTTTTATTGGAAGGCGTCTAGTTTCTTGCCAAAAGCAAAAGACTCAGATATAGGTAATCTTAATGGTCAAGTAGACAAAGTGAAGCAATCCAACCTGCGTCACTCATAATGCCGATGTAATATCCAGCCAGACATCGGAGAATGCGTTTACTGTACAGTAGTCCTACTTCACGGCTGTGAAACATGGCATTTAGTGGAAGACATGAAAAGATTGGAGTTTAGGAAGCTCCATCAATCAAGATGACCGGGACAAGTATAACGCATGTCGAGTCACCACCAGCTAACTGATAAGGAGCTAATCTGAAATAGATTTATGTATGGTGAGACTGATAAATGACACTAATTTGTAAGTAAATTTACTGTTGGCTTGAGTCGCATATGCAGAAGTGATTGGTATAGCTCAAAATTGTAAACCATGGATCAAATATGTGCCCCTTCTGATTCTGAAATCCTTCTCTAATCTTCGTCCAATTAGTATTCATCCCATTTATATCTATCCATTGCAGTTTCATTGCAATTCTTTTCATCCCTTTTGTGCGATCTTTTCTGAAGTGGTAATTTCTACGCTGATCAACCTATCAGTCACTAAATTAATTTACTGACATTTTTCATAATTTGCGTAAACTGTGTAAACGATATGAACTTAAACGACATACTGGGCACACATGATTGCGATTTCTAATTTTTATCGACAGAAATCAGCTGTATTATACATACTATTAAATACTTAGTGGTTCCTTATCTGTATTTCACATAAACCATGCGATCAGCACCATTCCAACACAAGTATGTATTCGGTTCGGTGTTCCTGTGGAGACCAACTCTACAGTATGGATTTAACAAATGGCTTTCTTTCTGATAATATTGTAACACTGTCATGTTAACTGTAAGAACTCAAGCAGAAGACGTCCTCTTTCATTGTTTTGCAATATTCGACTAATCACTTATTTGTATGCAGCTAACACAGAAACTGAATAATGACAGACTGGAATAAATTCGGTGACACAGACCAATAAGCATTAAAATGTTGTGAATGTATCACTTAATATCTACAATTACTATCTGACTGTTTTATTGTCATTGTTTCTCACAATCATTTACGTTAAGATGTTTTAAAATGTACTATTCTACTTCTTAGCTATCTGATTTAACAAAATCTCTAATGCAAACTTTGAGGATGCCATATCTGTCTGGTCTTTTATATGCATTTTCCTTTTTTAAGTGTAGATACATAATAGAGTATTATTTTATCAACCTTATACATTCACAGATTTTCTCCTATCTCTGTCAACTAGCAGCCAAAGTAAGAATAGATGAAAAAGTTGCATCAGCAATGAGATTCGATGAATTACAAGAAGTGCTTGCAAGTAAGTCAACTGAAAATTATTGTTGTCATTATTATTATTATTATACCGTTGGATGTCGAGTAGAATATAGGCTTTCGGCAGGACATCTCCAATTTACCCTATGCTCAACAATCCTTTTAAGATAGCTCCACAATTGCCCATAAGCTATAATCTCATCCCCACATACACTGGAAGGCCTGGCCCGTGATGTCACTCAGCTGTCTCTTCAGTGTATAACCAGTCCATATACATTTTCTTAGGCGTATTTTTTGGGCAATATATACTTGACTGATTATTTCCCAGAACTCTTTATTTACAGTCCTTTTCGGACATATGATCTTCTGCTCAGAGCAAAGGCAGCTGTTGATAAGATTCTGCAGCTTGTGAGTTATGCCATTCGTGATGTACGCGTCAAGTCTCTGAACCATTCAGAAGAAATTATGGACTTGACATTAGTTTTAAAGTTACGAATCTGGTTCTCTATGCTGATCGCAGCAGATGTGCACACTCATTTCAGATTAATCAAGGTCTGTCTTGTCTTTTCGATTCTGGCTACGACGTCCTCATCCGTTCTGTCTGTAGTGGGAAGGACGCTGCCTAACCACGTAAGTGGAAGACGTTACTTGTTTCAAATTTTTCCGTTTGATGGTGATTGATGCTTGTTGTTGTTGGTTTATAGATATCTTGTTCAGCTCTGTCTTCTCTCTGTCTACTCGAAGTCCTGTCTTTGTTGCCTGCCTCTTCTGCCAACTTGGTGCCTTCCGCCTGTAGATCATCAAGCTGATTTGATAGTAAACATAAATCCTCTGTGAAGTTCAATCTTATAGAGTCTTCTCGTGTGTCCCACGTATTTCTCTCTTCTTGCTTCCCGTGGTCTGCCGTATTCGCCAGTACAAATAGAATACATACAGATGTCTTGACTGATAAAAAAGTGAAGCATATAGATACTTACGAGTATTGTACAAAAATATTTTTCTTATGGATTGGTCTTGCCAATATTTGTTGCAAGTATATATGAGATTCATGTTCCTAGTGTAACTGGTAGATAGATGAAATATTGTTTTATAACCAAAAATTCAGACTCTAAGATATTCTACTTCTAATTACACGTAGTTGCACTAAGGATATTCAAACCGATGAGACATAAGCTTGACTATAAGTACACCAAATACCAAGGAGAAATTCATTTGATAATCTCATGAAGCAGTAATGTAGGAATTCAGCCAGTGTAAATTTTACATGGATACTTGAAGTTGGTGTGCCTATAGTCACTGGGTCTTCTTGCTGTGAAGTGTTTAGGGTGTATGAATTGTCTGGCTGGGATCCATGTGGCTACAGGAAATTAATAAGACTAGCATCAGCATACAGTAGTGTTAAGTACTATATTGATAACCTTACCTTTCTGTCCTGTGTATTTGTTTGGTTTTTTAGAATTTTATTCTTTTGAGTTCCCAGTGGAACTTAGGGCTTCCACCTCGAGTCTTGAGGTTTCAGTAGCAGTGGTACTTTTTACGGGATAGTGTTACTAGCCTCACACCCAACCTTCCCTCTTTGTGAAGCTTACAACTGGCTGAAATAAAGATGTACGTCGAGAGGGAATTGAACCCCGAACCATATGCACGGCAGGTGAGCATCCTACCGCTGAACCACCGACGCACACATATTCATTTGGTAGGGAACCACAAATTCCTTGAATTAAGTGATTTCCCCCCAATGAAACGTTATGCACACAAGGCCTATACTGAATTACTTAAGATGTTATAGGGCAACTGAAGACTAAGTTAGAAATTATTTCCGATTCTTTCTAGTTTCTATTTAATGTCATTTAATTTTGTTTTAGATGTCAATCTTTGATAGGAACTACTCAGAATGTCAGTTCCGACAGTGTTTTCATTTGCTTAGTTATCGTTGTCATTTGGTATTTAAAGAATAACATTTAAATGTCAGTTTACTTATTCTATTTCCTTTCTGTTAAATATTTTTTTTTCAATGAGAGTTTCTTGTAGAGGCTTCTTTTACTGATTTATTTATACCTTCCACCTTTCTTCTTTTCCCTACTAGCCAGAATTGGACAAATTGTTAGTGGTGAATATGCCATGTTGAGTGATGTTCAAGCAAATGCTGATCGTGTTAATGGATTAAATCGAAAAGTTAAAAGACTACAAGATAAATTAGCTAGTAGAGAGATACAATTAGGTTTATGGAAAGAGAAAGCTGGCAAATTAGAAGATCAATTATCAGGTATGAATGAGACTGAAATGAAAGCTCATGCAAATAAAATTGCTGCTGAGAAATCTGCTGTCAATGCTAGACGATCAGAATTAGAAGCTTCTCGGCTTAAAGATGAATTGACTCGATTAAAAGCAGACCTCTTAGATTTTAGTGATGCTAAAGTAAGCTAGTAAATGTATTAAATTAATGTCATTTTTCTGGATTCACGTTATTCGTAAATAGTAGGTATTAGCAATTAAGATTTTTCGCTTACGCAATGTTTTGAACTTGAGTTTTAGTTAACTTTCATACCAGTACTTTCTGACCTTCCTCGACACTTTTATTGTTTTAATCAATAATGAAGAAATAATAGAATGATAAAGTTATTACTGTATAGATCTTAGGATAGGATGAGGTTTATAGCTGCACAGCATATACACCCTTCAACTAGTCACTGGATATGTTTCCAAAGTCACTCTCCAAACTGATAGGTTGCCCCTTTCTTACGATCAGTTTCAAGAATATCATGCCGCAAGATGTTTGGATGCCTCTGAGACAAAATTCGTAAGGCATGTGAAGGCTACGTTGGCTTGTATTTCTGAAAGACGACCTCCAGCCTGTTCAAACATACACGACCAGTTATTAGATTTTTCCATAAAATGTCTTTAGCAGTTCCAAGCAGTATTACAAAGGCAATCATGATCAAATATATGGAGTCGCTAAAAATTCTCGAATTGAAAGGGATAGGTTTCTCAAGATTAGAGCAGGACATTATGTAATATATGGGTGTAATCCTGATGTATGACTACCGAACTAACATGACGCTGACAATGAAAGTGTCCCAGATCGGTATATGGCGTTCTGTTAGGTGACATTACCACCAACACACATGCGCAAAAATACCCAGGTACATAAAACTTTCAACTGCTTCACACAGTTCATGTGAGAATATGAATGTAGACTGAAACTCTAACAATTCTTAGAAATTCTTTTGCATTTTGGCAACTCCAAAGATTTTGCTTAAGGTTGGAAACTTTCTCTTAACATGGTAAACATCTAACATTTCAGCGTTGCTTTCAGAAAGTCTTTGACCGGAAAATTAAGCAGAGATGACTAGACAATATTTATGCTCTAGAGAGGCGTTGATACATCGAATGAATTCATGATATTAAGAAATAGCGCTTATTTAGCTGCTTAGTTTGTAATGATAGAGGCTTGGTATTACGTTTATACCGCAAATTTAAGACTCTTACTTTAACTGTGGCAGCAACATTTGTGTGAGGCATTAAATATTAAGCAAGTATGCACACCAAACCCACGCTTGTCTTCGGGCACTTCCCTCGGAACGCCTGACTTAAAGTAACAATCAAAAAGGTGTTATCATGATTCTCGGTGATCAGAACTGGTCTATATATCATTCTTTCCTTTATAAACATGGAGCTCATGTGAAATGCTGGTTCAGAATCTAAGTTCCATATATCCACTAGATAAGACCTTCCTACCCATAAATCTGCTAACAATCATTGGGCATTCGCAAACACTTTAAGGACACAGACAGTGGTTCTGCACAGGATAGGAAGGTAGGGAAGTGGTAGGAACATCCAAAAAATAGATCAGAATCCATTCATTTTCCATCAGGTCACTTAGATCATTTAGAAAATTATTTAGTGTTGCAGCCAAGTATTCCTGAATAAAGTCTTTTAAAGAGTTAGTTGTCACAGCTAAGGGATATTAAAACAAACTGTATTCTGATCGTCAGTTACCGTACTGTACTGAATAGTCATTTCGTTGAACTTTGGACAAATTCTGTGTAGATGCATTGTGTAGTTTCAGTAGGAAATTTATTGTATGAAAGTGTATTTTAATACAATTTATTATTTCTTTTCATGTCTATTCAGATCAATCTAATTAAATATGAAGAAAAGATAGCTGAATTAACTAAATCAAATAAAGATCTAGAGTGTATACGTCAAAGTCAAGCGAATAAAATAGCTGAGCTATCAGAAAAGCTGGAAATACAAACAACAGATGAAAGTGATGCTCGTAATCGACTAGAAGAAGAATGTAAACACCTGATGAGTGAATTACAATCAATGAGAAAGACATTGGAGCAACTTCAACGTTCTGAAAGAGAGGTAGAATCATTTGCTCATCTATTTTGTACTTTTTAGTGTTAGGTAAAAAACAGCTTTGGATTTTTAATAAATACAGTAGTTGAAATTGTTTTATTCATCTAAAGGGGTGACTTTCATAGTCAAAAGAACATTAGAAAAAGTAGAATAGGAAATACTCGTAACAGATCACTTTCTTTCGGCTAAAATTTAAGCCCCTCAAGTATAAAAGGTTAAGATCTTAGGCTTGTTTTCGTATTCACCATCAGTTTGATGAATGTCAAAGAGCTGGAAACGTAACTTTAGGACTTTCAGACCAATAGATCCTCCTAAAATACTATAAACATGTCTATATTGATGACATCAGAATATTTGCATTTTTCATTCATTCAACGGTTACGACATTATTGTAAACCAGATTCTGATAATTCATCTAGAGGTCTGGCGGATAACGCCTTGTGTTTGTGCCGGCAGTTCAATGATGAAATGCTTCCTAGCCATTCACATGGTCTGGGTTCGATTATCGGTTGACATACTCCTAACCCTCATCAAGTTTACTGGCCCACAATGAGCCCGGAAAAGTGAGAAGATTGGACGTGAAGCTAGCAACTCCACTCAGTAAAAGACAACACTGTGACTGGAACTTGAAAGTCTGAAGCCCTATTTTCCACTCATGAGGTAAGGAATGAGAGGATGATTTTCTTTCAGGACTTCATCATGAACTGACATCGGTTAGAGGACCATTGGAAAACCAACACGGAGTACTGGACAGCTGTTTCGTCCTGGTCTAGGACTCTTCATAGTACTCATATACCCCCGGGGTTTAAACCCAGGACCTTCTAGTTGCAAGGTGAGCTCGTAGACCATTAAGCCACTAGGACCCCATCCAATGGCCAGTCCATGAATTCCAACATCTGCTAATTCATGATATGACGCGACCACTAACGAATGTCATCGTCAAGTATTTGTCGTCACACCTGACCTGCTGTACTTCACTGGTCACGACTTCCTACTAGAACCCAGGTAACTACCAACCTGAATACGGCCAGTCACTAGTGAGCATCAAATTGATATTCAAGTGTTGGTTTGTAGGGATTTGATTGGTTGAAGGATTTCATCATGAAATGACATCGGTTAGAGGCCGAAACAGCTGTCTGGTACTCCCAGGTTTTTCAATGGTCCTCTAATCGATGCCAGTTCGTGATGAAGTCATAAAACCAATCAAATCCTTGAAAAACCAACACTTGAAAAAGATTGAGATAAGTAAACTTGCACTGAAAGAATAACAAACACTGATCTGTGTGTATAAAGATTAATAATGACGTTTCTGTTTCAGCAAAAGAGGTTCATTTGTATGTCAAACTTTCAAGACGTTGGATAGAAATAGTGTCTCAACACTTCGTAGAGCTAAATTCCACTCTACTTCTATCACACACTTTCTCAGTGAAGCACTATTTTTAATTAAGGGTATTTTTTCGTCAGCATCTTTTTATTCGATACTATTGACCTTAACAATAAATAGCTTAGGAATTTTGTTTTAGACATTTTGCCCTACCAGTGATTTTGACTTTAGTTACTCACTTTGTTCACATATCGATTGACCTACTTAATTTCCACTTTGTACTTGTTTATCAGCTTTTAGAATTCAGAGCACTTGTTGGCCGTCTTCTTGGCTTAGACGTTGAACTACTGACAATACCTAATTATGATATAATTAGTCGTTTAGAAAGTATTATAACTCATCATCAATTTGTAAAAGACAATTCCTTGACATGCATGCATGATATGCACTCGCCTAGTAGAAAATCTCGTCCATTGACCAAGGAGACTGGATCATATCGTTGTATGACAGCAGAATACATGGCTGGACCACACACAGCAAAGACTAGATCAAAACAAGGTAAAATAGATTACGTTTTTTATGCTTCAATTTGATTGTCGGTGTGACAGATTATAAACATATGTGTATGTTTATATTTTTCATGCATGTTATTAAAAATAACACATTCCTAGAAAATCTGTTTTTCATAATGAATCGGTTTTATGTATATACAATTACCAGTGTCAGTATTGTATACGTATAGGCTTAAATATATGCAAGTGTGTATAGCTTTAGCAATGTTTTGTTTCAATGAGAGATACAGCTGAAAATTTCAGACTAAGAGGGAAATAAACATTTGACAGTTGCTTTAAATAAATTCATCTTCGTTATTATTCCCTTAGATTCCTTGTGTAAAATACCCCATTTCACCTTGTTCACTGCAGTTGCCTTTAGTTGGCTCCATGATAGCCTAAAAACTCTCATCCCCGTTTCACATAGTCTCCTTCATGTCACCCTTGTGTGTCTAACTCTTTGTTTCTCAATCGGGTTCCACTCGAGGGGCTGCTTTGCGTGTAATGTCACTCAACAGTCTTTACAGCATATCCCCGATCCAGTTCCATTTTCTTCGGTATATCTGTTGGACAATATGTTCTTGGTTGGTTCTTTGTCAAAGGTCTTTGTTGCTTATTCTTTCCAACCAGATATCTAATCTTTAGTAAGGCAACTTTTGATGAAAACCTGCAGCCTTTGAGAAATGCTCTTCGTGTTGTACTCACCAAGTCTCTGAACCGCTCAGAAGAAATGATTAACTTGAACTTAGTGTTAAAAATAAAAATCTGGTTCTTTTTCCTGAATGCAATAGATTTCTACACTCATTTCAGATTAATCATGGTTCGTCTTGACGTTCAGATTCTGGCTTTGACATTCTCATCCGTTCTGCCTGTAGTTGAATCGATGCTACCTAGCCAGGTAAATGGAACAGGTGATCTATTTCAGATTTCTTCCTTTGGTGGTGACTAGTGCTTGTTGGTGTTGCTTAGATATCTTGTTCACTTGTATCTTCTCTCTGTTCACTTGAAATCATGTCTTTACTGCCTGCCTCTTCTGCCAACTAGCTGGATTTTGTCTGAAGGTTTTCGAGTTTTCTCTTGAATAAAGTGGTACAAGTCAGATGAAGTCTTTCATTTTCTGGAGCTCGTTTAAGCAATATAATTTCATCAAAAGTTTACCATGAGAAGTATCTAGTGACATGTGGATAAATTTGCAGTAATTGACTGAATAGTTGATTTTAGTCAATCGTAACGAAGAAGTCAAGAAAATTAGCTCAGAGAACTTTTAATGCTGGCAAATTACAAATCTTATTTTCTACATGACCAGTGGTGATTGCCCCAACTGAAACATGAGATGCCTAGACTAGTCACTTCTAATTGTATCTACCAATTCAACTGAGCTTGTGGAGCAAGTTATGTTGGCCGTTGTTCTAGGAACTTGATTATTCGTGTTCGGGGACATCTACCAGTGCGGTTAAATAAAGGTGTAGTGAGGAGGCTGAATAGCTTGATATTAGACCACCTGGTCCAAACGGACCACGAGGCTAATATTGAAGAGTCCTTCTCCATCATCTACAGCGTACCAAATAAATTGCCAAAAACATCCGGGTACCGTGTGCTCCAAACCGCTGAGGCTATCGTGATTCGCCTTAAACACCTGATGCTCTATGTTCAGAAGAAGCGAGTAAAGCAACTACTACTGACTTGTCCTTCAGTGGAGACTATAAATTCACAAATTTTCTATTATTATTTTCCCTAATTTCTCTTATATTCAGAGTATTGTTGTGTTGACGCTAACGAACTGTAATCCGTTGATATTATTACTGATTCGACTTTATTTAAACAACATTAATGTTTTTAAATAATATAGCTGTCTTTTAACAATTATTCCAAAGTTGTCACTTGGACAGCATTAGACTACTTTATAATGGCTCATAAAAAAAATTACTTTAGCTAGAATTTTACTTCGAATTGAATAACAAAAACTTATTTTATGTCGATTAACGGAAATTCAAAAACGCCCCAAAGTTAAATGTTAAGCTTATTAAACAAAAAACTATACCATGTAGAGAAATAATAATGGCTTCATCCTCAACAGTGTTTATATAATGCATAGAGGAAACTATTGCATAACAGTTTCTCTTTTTCTGGGATATCCAAGTAAACTGGTGACTGACAGTAAATCGTGTGACACTCTGCTGTCCGACCTGAAGCAAAAAGCTCCCTCATAATATTTCCTCATTGCCTCCTTCTAGAAATGCACAAACCTTCATTGAAAGTCAATTTAAAAAGGCACAGGAGTGTATTTCCTCACTCCAATACATACTAATAGCTAAATAGGTGAAGACTACAGGTAATTAGTTCTATATCTTAGGCAGTGAAAGTTTGTACTAAAAATCTCAGGAACAATTATCCCATGTATTGAAATACGTTGCCACCCACGATTTTTTTCTTCTCAAGTTTAGTAGAAACTTGTGAACTGGCAGATTGTAAACACTTTAAATACTCTCCATAGAAATAATACTATTGGAGGTCAGATTTTATTAGATTTAAACAAAGTGAACAAGAGAAAATAAATGCAATATATTGATAAGGGTTTTCTGTAGCCCAAGTTTTAAGCAGGCCGTCTATCAAGTGTCATCCAAAACATGGCTGAATATAAGCGGTTATAGCATATCAAGATAGTATGAAAAAGTCTTAGGCAAAAAGATGTACTCAGTCTCCCTCAATGTGACCATATAAAACGCCTCTGAATAGTTTACTTAAAACGTTGTACAAATTGGTCATTATTCTCCAGCTAAAGTTGCAATTCACAGAATTTAGCTCTGTTTTTCTTAAACGAATGAGAAGCTATAGGGATATCCAGAAAAGTAATGTCTCTAGTAAGTGTTTAATCCCTACTTGGGCTTACTTTATCGGAATATACAAGTATTGGTTTTGTAGGGATTTTGTTTGATTGCATGGTGGATTTCATCATGATCTGACATCAGTTTGAGTACCACTGGAAAACCTGGGAGTGCTGCACAGCTGTTTCCTCCTAGTTTTGGACTCTTGATCAGTACGCACCCAACGTGGTTTGAACCCAGGACCTTCTGGTTACAAGGCGAGCTCATAGACCATTGAGCCTCTGAGACACAATCCAATGGTCCTTGAATTCTAACTTCTGCCAATTCACGACATAGCGCGACCATTTCGCAATATCTTCTTCGATGAGTTACTGCCTCAAACTAGGACCAAAGTAGGACGAAACAGCTGTCCAGTACTGCCAGGTTTTTCAGTGTTTCCCTAACTGATGTCACCTGATGATGAAATCCTCCATGCAGTTTATCGGAATAAAAACTGGTCAGCCACAATCAATATAGTTTATTGACTAATGACTTGAATTCGTTTCAGCCTTATATCTTTCCCTCTGTAGTATATAGGATCATTGTTTCCAAGAGGTGAAGGATCTTTATTTACAGTTTAGAGTTCATCACTTTAGATTGTAGCATCTTAATAATACTTTATGGTATGCATTTGAACTATTTTATTTTAGCTGTGTTGAGTGAATGAATGAATTGGTGAAATCATTCTAAGAATAAAATTTAACACTCAAAAATGGCGTAGTTTGAGGTGAAATTACACCACAAATTCCCTCGTAAGCCAAAACTATTCAAAACATAATATGTGATCTGTCTCATACACCATAAATCACAATCAAGAAAGCAAATATAAATGCATATGTGGTATGTATGGATTGCCAATTCACTCAAGGAGCTAGTCAGAATTCGACTGGTTTGTACTGATTCGGCTCTGTAATCTTAGTCGGACCGGATACACCATCATTGGGCTCAGCTCCAGACGAGCATCCGGTATTTAAATCGCTTACACTCGACCAGTAAGCACTACTGAGAGATGTGAGTAGCATTCAATCAGTAAAAATATATAAAGTATCCCAACAGCATTAATATTCCTTATCTCTATCGTACAAATTTTGTATTCATGTAAGGCGAAATCAGGCTCTTTTACCCATTTTTCTGTCGATCTACTGTTTGGCGTATTTTTAAAATCGCTTCTTCTCACAGAAGTATTTCTAAAAGAAATGAATACAGTCAATAAAAAAAGTTATGTCAGTAATAAAGTGAATTTAACAATTTACCACTAACGCTATTTCTAATACCACTACTACTTACACTACAGTTACTCTTCGCATGTAAGATATTCATTTCACAATGTTCAAGTTACATTAATTTCTACAGATTTGCCGTCACTTTTTTTTACTTCAAAATACATCGTATTCGACGCCATATTGCGTTTTAGTGTTATATATATATATATATATATATATGGATCTTTTAAAATTAATGACTTTAAGTTTTTGTTAAAAATAACTAGAAAAATAGATTAGATTCTTGTTCAATTAAGTTGCATTTAAATCTAGTTTTCTTTTTTTTAATAATCTATATTAATTCTTTATTGTCATTAATATTGTTCATAAAGTAGTTAGCAATTCAATGATTAAAACATGAGGAAAGTTCATTGTGGCGGATAGACATAATTGATAATTTTAGATAGTTGGAGGCAATCGGCAATCACGAACCTGAATAGCTCAGTGGTAACGTCTCTGACTGCAGCACTCAGTGGATGACGCGGGTTCGAATCTCAGAAGGGACATGAGTTCCTTGAAGGTTGCAAATACGCCTTGTTGACTGGTGAGTGCCAACTAGCACGAAACCTAGGTCAAGCAAGGCTTCCTATGACCGATTCCCTCCAACCATCTATTGTCATCAAATCAATGTGCATCATGATGGGGAGCTACCTAGAATGGCGGCCACATTGCAAACCTGACTGATAGAATTCAGTCTGCATCAAAGACAGGACTGCACACACCACAGTAGTTACTAGCGTAACAACAGAAGGCAAGACACAGAAACCAAGGTGTCTTTTCAAGTGATCAAACTGCTATATATATATATATTCTGGTTTGCATTAAACGACATGAAATAGAGTGTTCAAATATATATAGTTTCTTGTTGCTAATGCAGTATT